TTTGCACAATTCTCCTCAGTTTTCTCATACATACTTGTTCATTCTTGCAATTGCGTTATTAGTAGAATTCTGCTGTTTTCCTTCCTTTTCTTTTTTTCAATTTTCCGTTTACAGGCATTCCAATTTTGATCGGTGCATATATTATTTATATCAATCAGCATAAGCTGAATACACTACAATACTACTCCTTCAAATCAACTCAAAGGCTGGCCCAAACTAAGTTCCAAGTGATATTAAATATCTACAAACTTTGGCTAAAAACCTTAGTTTTCCAATAAAGTACTTAACTATACCTAATCCCTTCATAATGGTATGGATGGGCTCCTGACTATCTTTACTGATAACTATGTCATTTTTACATAAGAAGTAAATGCATCTCTTCCTAAATAGGTTGTCTAGAGGCGTCATTACTTCATTTTGGCTGTCTTTTATTTTATGAATATCACCTTATACTACTTTGAGTGCTTTATTATCAGACAAGGATGGTCTTTCCAACTGTCACGATAACCTTTATGCTCAACAAATTTCGGTCTTCAATGTAGCTGTCTAGTTCGAACTCCTAGGTTATTGCCACTGTAGTTGGGAATTTAATCTATGTGGGTTAGATTCTGATATACTTAATTCTCCAGCTTCCTCGTGTCGGTTCGGTTGATCTACATAACAAATAATGGTAGCTTGTTTGATTACGGAATGTTCGTCACTGAAGACGTTGTTGATCAGACTGTGGATATTTTCCAGCTTGCTTCTTCTGATAATGAAGACTCAGTCGTTCACAAAACGAATCCACATTTTTGATTTGATCAGTACATCAGACAAAGTGGACACTCTAACTTCATCTTCGCCTGCATAGACATCAGTCAGCTTCCAAACGCCCTAAAATATCTTCATTGTGGATAAATTCGTTCGGAAAATGTCGGAATGTTGAGCAGAGAGAATGTAAAGAGCATAGGGGAATTTTCAGAAGTTTCACACTGAGATCAATGGACAATCATATGGAACTCGATCTAGTTCATCAACTAGTCAGAATACACATGAACATATTAAAGACCAAGAATCAGATTAAAGGGAGGAACAGTCAAAATAAAAAGGCTGATGGTGATGAGCTGAAGGTTAACAATAATCAACCAAGGCCAAGATCGACAATACAAGCTGTGAATCATACCTGGAAAAATTACAAATGTTTCAACTCGACCTGAAGTTTGAGCTGATGATGCTACTCAGAAGAACAATGGAAGCTTCACGTCCAAACATTCGAGTCTAGAGAATGAAATATCACCAAAAACGCTCATTGACGACATGTCATAGTTACAGAAGCTAAGTGGTTATCTTTATATCACTCTCCCTTATGTTTTGAAACTGCTCGCAGCTCTTTTACGGTTACTTCCGGACGCAAGCACGGGCGAAGGAGGGTTGGTGTGTTACTTGTACGAACTAATCATTTCTTTGTACTTGATGACCCGCTCATTACGAATTCCAAATACAATGTGTTCATTTGGTTGTGCTTGCATTAATTTGCATTATTTCGGGAATTCCTAGTCCGTACAATAATTCGAATACTTCTAATCACCATATTTGGACATGGGGTCAGCAACCTTGATAAAAAACACTGACTAGTATAACTAAAACGAAAACCATTTAAACCCTGTCTTACGATTTTAAGGATATTCATTCAGAAGAATCATGACGCCTCATAATGAAAACCGAGATTCTTCGGAAGTCATGAGGCCGATATCTTTCCAACAAACAGTGCAACAAATGATATAAGTACATGGAATGTCCGGACAATGTGGTAGACCAGAAGGACCAGTCGAATAGCTACGGAAATGAGGAGACACAACTTGGCAGTGCTCGGAATCAGTGAAACCAATTGGATCCAAGCTAAATGGAAAAGGTTAGATTCGGGAGAGACGCTGCTATACCTTGGTCGCGAAGAAGAAAGTGCTCCGCACACTCAGGGAGTTGCTCTGATTCTGTTCAAAGAAGCACGAAGTACATTTATTAGGTGGGAATCTCATGGGCCCAGAATCATCAAAGCATCCTTCAAAACAAAGAGGGAGGGCATTATAATGTATGTTATCCAACGTTATGCAGTCACCAATGATAACAACGACGACGATAAAAGTCAGTTTTATAAGAGGCTACAACTGATCATAAAGAGGTGTTCAGGAAACGACCTGACAATCCTGGTGGGAGACATAAAGGCAAAAGTCGGAATGGGCGACACTGGGCATGAATATATCATGGGACAACATGGACTTTCAAGAAGGAATGAGAATTTTGAGAGATTTTCAGATGCATGTGTATTCAACAAAACGGTTGTAGACGACACCACATTCTCACACAAACGCACAAATAAAGCTAGATGGATTTCACTGGAATACACCACAGAGATTCAGATTGATCATATTTGATTCAATAAAATGTTCAGAATATCCAAATAGCAGAGAAATAGATGGGTAGAACACTTTGAAGAACTCTCGAGTACTCCAAATTCATTGAATCCACCGAATATCGAAGCAACACACACAGACCTTATAGCTATCAATCCATCCTTGATCGACGAATCAAGATAATCATCAGATAAACCAAGAGTGGAAAAGTAGCAGTCCCTGATAGCATGCCACCTTAAGCAGCGAAGTCAGACGTAGAAGCAACTGTAAACATGCCCCACATTCTATTCTGTAAGATTTGTGGTGAGAAACAAGTGCCGATAAACTGGAAAGAATGACACCTTACCAAACAAAGATATGAAAAATTGTGAGAATTACAGAGGTATCCACACTATTATCGATACTGGGATAGGTTTTCAACAGAGTGTTGCTGGACCGGATGAAAGATTTTGTAGACACCCAACTTCGCGATCAACAGGCCGTACTCCGTAAGGATCGGCTGTGCACAGACCAAATCGCCACGCCACGGATCATCATTTAACAATTAATTGAACATCAACTTCCTTGGCTATGAGAAAGCATTTGACAGTGTGGATAGGACTTTATGAAAAATTCTTCAACACTATCGTGTACCTCATAAAATCGTCAACATCATACGGAATTCATACGACGGAATACACTGCAGTGGTGCATGGAGAGACAGGTGACATTCATTCCAAGTAAGGACCGGAGTTAGATAAGGATGCTTACTCTCCCTCTTTCTCTTTCTTCTAGTGGTTGACTGGATTATGAAGACCTCCACATCTCAAGGGAAGCAAGATCCTCAAACACAACACGAGGAACACCAACCCAATCACACTTGATGGAGAAACTCTGAGGTGTTGGGAACTTTCACGTACCTGAGTAGCATCATCAATGAACAAGGAGGATCCGATGCAGACGTTAAGACGAGGATCGGCAAAACAAGGGACGCATTCCTACAATTGAGTAACATAAGGGACACAAAGCAACTGTCGACCAATATCAGATCCAGAATCTTCAACATGAACGTCAAGACAGTTCTGCTGCACGTGGCTGACACTTGTAGAACTGTTACAACCATTTTTAAGGTCTACAAGTGTTTATAAACAATGGTCTACGTACGACACTCAGTGTCCGTCTACCGGATATTATTAGTAACGGCCCACTGAGGAAGAGAACAAATCAGCTTCCAAATGAATAGGGAATTAGGAAAAGAAGCTGGAGGTAGAAAGGATATATATTTCGGAAATCATCAAGCTACACCACGAGGCAAGTGATACTGAAGGGGAACGGAGAAGCGAAAGACTAAGGAACACATTAGTTTGCGAATTGCATGCAGACATCAAAATAATGGAAAAGCAACTGGAAAGGATTGGTGAGTGGCCTATACTCTTCCACGAGGGGTAGCAGGCGTGAGTAAGCAAATAAATATGTTGTTTGGCCTTTTTTTCAGTAACTACCGATCATTTAAACACTGTTTAATAATGATTGGTGATTCTTTTTTACTTGACTGCTAACGCTGTTGTTTCACAATATTCTACCTCTGTTTACGATTTATTCAGCCGTTTATTATCATGTTTGTTAATGTCTATGGTTTTACGAACGTCTTCTGAATACCACATTTAAGTATTTAGCAGCAGTATAGTCCGAATCTGTTGTTTCAATTCATCTTTAAGATATTCCATTGATCAGTGAACAGATCTGTTTGTGACGTCGGATGAACCTTACTTACCCTGGTAATAAGAATACAGATGAGAATGCAGACTACACGAGATTGTGAATAGATTTATATATATATATATATATATATATATATATATATATATATATATATATATATATATATAATATTATTTATTCTCTGAAGAAGTGACTTACACTAAGTCACGAAACGTCAGAAAATCTTATTTTCTACTCATTGGGATATTACAAATATATTATTTATTTATAGATTTATATATTAAATAAATGAATCTTACATAACTTCTATCAATTTAGACAATCACCAAACTGTCAAATAGATATTCATTGAACCTGTTCAAATAAAAATAAAACAACCTATAATAAGATCAAATTGACTTAAGCTGATCTTCCAGATCATTCAACTTATCAGAGGTCTACTAGATAATCAGGACACTAAGATCATTTCAACACATCGATCTAATAAATGATGTCGCTTTATTTGAAATCATGTAATTCTATTGAATGTCAAATATATGATTTCATTTTTGTCAATATTTATATATGAAGCTCGTGAGAATCACTTGTCATGTGATGATAGCTTATATGCATGTACTTGAGCCTATAATACAAAAGATTATTTATTTATCATTATATATATATATATATATATATATATATATATATATATATATATATATATATATATATATATATATATATATATATATATATATATATCAGTAATCTTTACTGAGATCAAATATGATTTACATAAATTGCAATAGATCTTCGGAAAAAAATACGTGATTTTTCAAATTAAATTCAATCTAACATGATATACATTTGTGGATACTGTTCACATATATTTGTCATGTGTGTTAATCATGCTTTAATGTAGATAAAATCGTTAAAATGAGAATAAATTTAATGGTTGGTCAAGATGTAATTTGATCGGATTAGTTGATTGACAGTTACTATGAGTTAAAACAAAGTAAATTCAATGTTGATATACATTTAAAAAGAAGAACAAGAGGACGAAGAAGAAGAAATCTATGTAATTATATGAAAATGCAATCAAAATTAATCTATGAAATCGTTGAAAATGATAACAATAATGAAGCTCAATTAAATTTATTAAATTGTTCTGATGAACTTACTGAAGTATTGAACTCATCAGAATGTATACAAAAAGATATATCTACTAAAACCTCACATAATAATGGAAATAATGAAAACCGAATAAAGTATAAAACAAATCAACCATTAAAGAATAAGGAAGAAATTAGAAGCTTTTTTATATCTAACCAATTATGGATTGTTACTTTATTAATTCTAATTATCGTGATTGTTATTGCATCATTATCTGTTTGGTTTGGAATTACATATTATAAATCCAAATTATCTGGTATAGATATTATTGAAGTACCCGGTGGTAGTCAAGGCAAGTTAAAAAAAAAGAAACTTCCATGAGATATAAATACTTTTTTAGTTACTTAGTAATTCATTCCATTGATGTTCTTTCTGTAGTTATACAACAAACTGATCTGACATGCTAGAATTTCAACCTATGGATTTTTAGCCATAAATAACTTCTAAAATAAATAGTATTTCGAAATTTCGACGTAACTACAGAATGGATACTAATAACTAACGATTCCAGGAAAGCACAGTAACCATTCCAGATACAACCAAAAGGATAGTCAGCATAGTAGTTTGATGTTTATTTTTCTCTGATTAACTTTAAATATATTATCTTTTCTAGCTAAATGAACAAAAGAAATAATTAGAAAACTTTATATCGGTAAGATAGACCAAATTTACATTCCACGTATTTTCTGTTGTTAACGGGGATTGGGACATAATGCTGGTTAATTTAAAATGAACACTTAATTTTATCAATAAGTTCATCTTTTGAAATTGCTTTTATTCATTTATGAGAGAAAAAATGTCTTTTTTTTACAAAAAATATGGCGTCAGTAAATGACCTAGACAAAAGAAATAATGGTTTAGTAAAACATTACAAATTATAAGATGTAATAAATTAATAAAACAAGAATAATAACGAAAGAAGATCAAATATGATTAAAATGATGATAAATTTTGTTTTACTTAAAAGCAAATTTCTAGTATTTAAAAAAGAAATAAATTATACTTGGTTTGCTATCAACTTCTAATCTGAGTTATGTTTAAGCATATCTTAGACTCATGGGTTACTTGATCACTCTGATCAAATATATCAAATACATTTAGAAATATAGAACTACAACAGGATTGTAGATATTATAACCCACTGAAACTTAATCTATACGTTTTAGGTCATTGACATTAGATGAATGATCAATAGTCCTAAGGCTTAATGAAGTCATAAAATATATCAAGAAATTTTCTCAGTACAATTCAGTTATCATGATGATAGGCCTACGGGAATGAGGTTCAGGCTTATCAGTTGGGAGTTGAATGTGTAGAGTTTTAAGCCTTCGATCTACACATACTTTTCTAAATTGGTCATAAATTTCAATTTAATCATTTCCAAATACGGTTTTACTCATAAATCATAATGTTGCATGAAAGTGTTTGGAAATATGAATATTTCATAAGTAATCATAATTGAACCTGGTTGTAGCTGACTGATAAGAAAGTTTTGATTAAAAATCTAAATATTTTTTATCGGTTTTTGTTTTTGTTTTTCATTGATTCCAAATGTGTTTTTATTTAGATGTAGATTTTTACTTTGAATTAAATAAGAATTCTAAAGAAAGAATAACTTTAATTATTCATAAGTTGCTTGTTTTTCTTCAGTTAAAACACTGGTAGCTGAACTGAAACTTAATAGAAAGCGAAGAATATTCTTTTCAATAATTTCACATTAGGTTCGACAATCATCTCATATCCAAATTAATAATCCATCGAATTGGCCAGGTTTAAGGTAGAGTACATCATTTAAAATAGTAACATGTGAATTAAGGATTGTTTGTCATTAGAAATCAAGTCAAATCGTTAATGTTGAAGCTGACTAATATGAAGTGTTAACTTGAATCAGTTTATAAGTAAAATGAAATTATGTGATAATGATTAAAATAAATATGGTCAACATGGGATAAGAGAGAGAGAGCGAATAACGTAATCACAAATCAGAAACTACGTAATATGTAGAATAATATGAATTAGACAAGAATAAGCAGATAGGGGTGGATACTGAATAAGTTTCTCAAAAGCGTTAGCAAGTGTAATAATAATAATAATAATGTACTCTGCCTTAAACCTGGACAATTTTATGGATTATTATATTGGATATGAGATGATTGTAGAACCTGATGAGAAACTATTGAAAAAGAATATTCTTTGTTCATATAATTGTGTTTTCATAAAATGGGAATTTTTCAGAGAGAAAGTGAAGGTTGATTGAAATTTTAAGTCCTAACGTTACAAAGATTTGTAAATTTATTTGTTATACTCATAGTAGTGTTGTGATATTACTTAAGTTCGCATTGGTCTTTAAATGATATAAACACTTTCTATGTTTTTTTGTTGTTGTTGACAAGACAACCTATCTTTCGGTTACAGAGTGTAGAAAACATGTACAACAACGTATTCATTGTTAACGTTTATTTATATTTTTGAAGCATTTCACAGATTTGACTGGTTATTCATTGTTGATAGATAATGAGACTATTAGTTTTTTTACGAAGTTGATATGTACAAGAGATTTCTAAATAATTGTAAAATCGCTGGTAAAATGCTTGATGCAGCGGATCAATTCAGAAACAATGACTTTTAATGATGTATTTAAAAGATTTAAAGTTTACTTTAGGACTTTCTATTACCTTGACAACATGAAACTAATTCATGTAACTTTTTTAACATTTGATAATAAGGGTTGAATTTATGTTCGCTTTAAATATTTTGTATCAGATATTCATCACTAGTTATGTATTATAGACAATTGACTAAAATGTAAGAAATAGTAGCAATATACTTAGTATTTAATTGGGATCATGAATCGACTAATGTCAGACCACTATTGAATAGCTGGAAGCACTGGACAGCCGTTTTGTCATAGTATGGGACTTATAACAGCTCACATGCTATTGTGTTTGTTCACATTTAATTCGGTTAAGTCATTTTATTAACCTATTAACGAACTGAGTCATCCGTACAACAATTTATCTATATCATTGTATCCTTATTACTGTTGCTAATGTGTGAACATGTATGCTCGGCAAGCCTTACTGCCTACACATTTATTCACGCTACTAGCTTTACTATTAACCGCTTAATTGACTCGGTGATTCATTCATTTCACTATGTATATATATATGTCCATGTTATTCATTACTCGCTCGATCGCCCGCTCACTTGCCTGTTTGCCTTTTGGCACAACTATTTCATGCTTGCTTAACGCATCTGTAATTTTGGATATCTGTGTGTGGTCCTATAATAAACGTATTTAACACTTCTGATTAATATACCGTTGGAGCGTTATTTAGTGACGGTTACCGAGACGAACTGTATACGGAGTTTAAGGAATATATCGAACACCGACCACCACGGACTCCTAGGAAATAAGCATTCACGATCTCGCACGTGTGATTTGAACCCAGGACCTTCGATTTCAATCGACTCATGATCTCAACTGAAAAGTTAACAATCTTCACAACCCCATACTGATATATTTAGTAGTCAAACATTTTTTGTTTTACAAAATGCTGAAATGTGTACCTATTTGAATGATTATGAATTTTTGGATGAGTTGTTCTCATTGTTCAAACAAGCTGTTCTTGAACATTGTTAAATTTAAATTCGGTTTACGCTTAATTTCACTCTAAGTACATTAAAATCAATATACAAGAATCATAAGCGAAATATTTTTATTCTAATTTGTAAATATCACATTTTGGAATAAATACCTAATAACTTGACATGTAAAAGTGATCGAATTGCTAGTGTTCTACAGACTAATTTTACTATAAGAGTTAAACGCAATATATGCTATAGTGTACACTATTAAATTTTCATACAATATTAAGTTCTACATTATAGAAACTATTAAGTGTAAAAATAAACCAATCGTAGGTTTTTCTTTGCTTAGAGAGCTTGTGACTTGGGGCTATATCAAGGCAATCCGCACAGGATGCACATATGCCAACATGAAACCGATCAATTGCAGTCCTAAATAACAATCGGAAGATATAAGTAAAACAACACCAAGGGAATTTAAACTTCACCCCATTGCACAAGCAGGCGGCTATCAGGACTCGGTAGCTAAGTGGACAACGCAATGGAGTTTGAAGCGAGTGGCACTGGGTTCGAGTTCCAGAGTGAACACCAACTCTGGGATGAAGGTACATCCAGCTGACGAGTCCCAAATAGGACGAAGTGCGTGTTCTGGATTCCACTGCTACCCAATATCCATCTTTGCTTAAAAAATTGTTAATAGTTTGAATTTTGGTTCAAGTGAACACTGACTGAATTTTAATGACATACTGAATGTACAAAGCTAATAGTTGATTATTTATGTGTAACATTCAGATGTCTTCGATTGTAAAGTCACCTTAAGACTATAGATTTCGATATTATCGAACACTCATACATGTTTAAATCTGATAGCGAAATCAGTTTACAGGTATTCACCTGTACGTTTAAATTTAAGGCTATTGTGGATTACAAAATTATATAATTTACAAAGCACTTGAAATATAGTTTGGTCTGGATAGCTGTTTCATGCGTGCCTAAAATTCGCTTTTGTAGACATTTGGTTTGGGAAGTTACATTCAACATTAGCTGGTGTAATTCAGTAATCCGATAAAAATTCCTCAAGAGTAGTATGACATTTATAGCTTATTATTACTTTACTAGTGACTAAAGAGCTTTTAGATTGTGCCGAATGTTATAATTATGGTCCTAAGGAATGATTTTGATGATTGAATGTTCTTCGTAAATCACACTTTTTTATTCATAACTGTATAATTTATTTTGTTATGCTTTATTATTGCATAAAAGCGATATCTTCCACGACAAATAAAACGATCAATAAAATATGTTTGGAACCAATTGAATCAGGTCCATGCAGAGCTTCCATCGAAATGTTTGCTTTTAGTGTAGACCAATGGAGATGTATCAAATTCATTTATGGTGGATGTCACGGGAATTCCAACCTGTTTGCTAGCATAGAAGAGTGTGAAGCTGTATGCCATTAAGTCACTTATTATTATTTCAACAAATATGTTTCAAGTTATATAATTCACTGTTTAATTTCCTTTGGTTTTGTAGATTACAATATATTTCTTTCATGATGCATTGATTATTTCGATTTACAAAGTTTATTTATAATCCGTGCAGAGTTTTGTAGAGAAAAATTATCTAAAGATTTAAAAATATATTATCCAACAGGAAGGCAACCTGATTGAACATCTGGGATACCTGTTCCTAGATATTTCAACAAGTTATCTAATTTTCTTGTTTTAATACATCATTATGGCATAACCTATTGAGGTGGGTTTCTGAAAAGTGTACAACCTTTCGTTGTACAAGTTACAAATGACCCAATCAGAGATATCGTGGTTGCTGGAAATATGTAGCGAAAAGAATGTACATTATTTAGACGTCCATTGACTGGACTGTTAACTTCTAACTGGTGATCACCCAATATTTATCGTCAGGATCGACCAAGAAGTAAGAAACGAAAACCTGTTGAAATACTTTGTGCTGAGAATTCTACATTGTTCCAAAAATATAATATTGAATAAAGCGAATAATGATAATGTCCTCTCAAAAATTACTTTTTAAGTAAAATGTGATTATTTCTAATCGCTGGACTACATAATGTGAATAATGTTCAAAAAGGGATTTCAGTAACATGAAATATTTATGTAACCTAATATTGTTATTGATTTCTATGAATTCGTATTCCTGCTGACATTACAAAAAGTTCCTTAAGTGACGTGTTTTCAATTCATTCCATTGCAAAAGACACTTTTTACTGATTGATTTGTTAATCTTAACCTAATAATCTTTGTCTTACTTTCAAGGTTGCTTTTAAAGAATTTCTATCCAGTAGCTAGATAACAGCCAAGTTTAAATTTTCTTAGTCGCGAATATGTCTCTTCATTTGGATTACATGAGGCCTGAACGAAGAGACAGAGGTATCTCACAATGCTCAAAAAATCGAAGATAGGTCTGATTCGTCATTTAGTGAAGGCGTGTTAGAATTATGATTAATGATTCAATAATCTTTATTAGATTATACTCACGAATTTAATCTTGTATTTCCGGATATAAAATAGAATTATTTATAATATTGTCTAAGAATGTAAGAGCATAACAAATGTTGAGTCAGAACTCTTATCTATATATCGTAGATAGTTTGAGAATAAAGTAATGTGTAATATTAAATCTACACACGAATCAGAAAATACATATACGCAAGTAAAAAGCACTTAAAAAAAGACGGTAACTTCGCGTATGTCTTTTAATTTGAGATATTTAAGGAACAAATATAATATTACTTTCATTATATTAGGATGGAGAAATGTCATTCAAATTTAAATAAAAAGTAATTTGAGTAGGTCTACTTCTTTTTGTGTTTAGCAGTTACGATAATCATCGGTACTCGAAATCAATGAATTGTATGTCGTATCGGTTTAGGACTAATGTGTCAGAGGTCACGAAGTTTTGTCTCAAATTTATCTGTTACACCGAAAGAGCAGGAAATCAACCATGTGTATAACCAAGTAATGGTTGATAAATAGTTTGTTTTGTAAAAATGACTATTCTCATCGAGAATGAAACAACTATTGTTAAGTCTCATTTAAGTGTCAATTGTAGAAGTATTTAAGTAGTCAGAATTAAATCTAGGACAAAAAAGTATTAAATTATTTGTCAGTAAGAAGTTGTAAGGGTGACTATTTTCGAGACGAAATTCTCGGAGTTCTAGTGAGAAGCTGCGACCGGTAGAGCTAATTCGTGTCAGGCGTGAAGTAGTTATCCACTGAAGACATAGAAAATGGTGATGCAAAGTCGTGGATTAATTAGTTAGACACTAACAATGTTGAATGTCGAGTCACTGGTCTAGAGACAAAGCGTTGTTTGATTTAAGACTAATGAAACGATTGGTTAATTGTACTTAGATGAAAAAATGCAGTGAAATCTACGAAATGCATTTCATTTCAATAAAATGTAATTTAAGTCTGCAGTATATTTATAGTTCTTTCAAGATATAAAGTAGAATAAATCCTCTGAATCCAGCTCAGGGGACATAAGTATTGAAAGCAATATTGACAATCCATCAAAGATGTGCGGCCTGGATTCCATCGTTAATCACAATATAGACTCACTTCATAATGGCTACATTGTGGCAAGTTGCGCAGATTTCACATATTCAAACTACGACTAATTAAAATTTTCGTCAAAATATCTTTCAACAATGACATAAGAATTTCAATGATTGAGAACATGAGTCAGTTGAAGCTAGACCACTCTGAGAAACATGAAAGCACTGGACGACCGTTTCGTCGTATTGTGGGACTCCTCAGGAGTGCGCATCCATGATCCCACTTCATGAGACCCGAACCCAGGACCTATCAGGCTCGCGCGCGAGCACTTAACCACTAGACCACTGAGCCGGTATCCGACGGTGTTAATGTCTAATTTCAACTAATCCATGAAATTGATAGATACATCCATCATTATCATCAGAGAGTTACTATCTCACAACGGACCTGGTTGAACTCTACTGGTCACTACATCTCACTAGAACTCCAGGATATACCCCTTGAAGCCAGTCGAAAGTGAGCATATGTTGTCTAGCTTTAACTGATTCATTAAAATTACTATAATATCTACAAAAACCTCTTCTGATATTAACGAGATAATAATTTCAAACTATCAAACTAGTAATAGTTCATTGACAAGTAATTAACAAAACAATCTAAATGTTGTAATTTCAAATGAAATAGATAAGAACCGAGTAGAATGAGTATAAAAATTCTACATTGACCATGGAAATTCCTTTATATTATTAAATCTTTAATAAAATCAAATTTATAACAGCTAATTATAGTTTTATTTCATTTCATTAGTTTTACATAGAGAATAAAAAGTAATTTAACAAAGTAATCAGCATTTTCATTAGTCTCTTATTAAAATGAGAAAAAACAAAACAATAAAGTTATACGATATAAGTTGAAGAACAAATTGACTGAGGATTTAATTGATTCGCTTAAGAAAACAAACAAAACATGGAAGGTATGCACTGTGGAAATGGACAAAAGATATTTTATATGTTTGAAATGAATTAGTTGAACAACATGGATCCGAGAGAAAAAAACATGATAAAGATAAAACTAAGTATGATAAACTGTGAATAGAAAGTCGAACAAACTAGAAAAAAAGTAAATAATTATTATACTAAGGAGGAGGAAGAGAGGAAGAAAGAGAGAGAGAGAAAGAAACAAAGAAAGAGATTACACGAAGATCCCCACAGCCATCATATAATAAATAAGTAAAGTATGTAATTTAGAAATTCATATAAAACATATCACAAATGTAAAAATTATTCTTCACAAGAACCAATAACATATGGTTTAATTATATTCCATTCAATGATGTTTTATTCTGACTCATATTATTATTGGTAATATCATTCTCAATATTCATACTATTAATATTATTGTCATTAACAATACTACTGCAATCTTCATTAGTAGTATTATTGCTGACTCCTGGACGTAAATGTGATGGAGCAAGAAATTCACCATAAAGTCGTAAAAGATGATGTAAAGCTAATGCTATTTGATTACTTCCACCGGTCACCAAAATACAATCAACAATATGAGGATATAATCCAATTATACTAGACCAGATTGAATCATCCACTGTATATTTTGAGTATATTAGACAGGCATTGAGTCATATATCAGGATAATATCAACCAGGATGAAAACATAAAAAATCATCTCATAAACGTAGAAATAGTTTAAATAATTAAGGTGTAAAGAAAACTTGTACATTTAAACTAATCATTAAGATGTATGTACAATACCTGACAGATTTTATTACTTTTAATAGTCATAATATCGGCAAAAACGATTTCATTTGTCAGTAGATTAAATTGACATTCTTTTCTGTGAATAGCTATTTTAAGTTACATAATTAATGCTATTATTAACTTTCCATTAGATAAGAACAAGAAAGAAATCAAAGCTTCTAATCATCTGTAAACGACGTTAATTACAAAGAATGAATATGTTTTAAAGTATAATTTGTGACTTAAATAATGAGTTGCTTGAGTTAAGAAATGAAAATGATAATATTACGTAATCCGGCAGAATATTTAATAACTGAAGTGGCATTAAAATATATTTTGTAATTGGTTATAGTAAATATGTTGCTTAGAATCATTGGAGATTCTTAATTATATCAAAAGTCATATTTCTTATTATTTATAAACAGCTATGGAATAGATCATTCTATCAATCGTATTGATGATTACATACAGTGATACAGATCGTCAATTTACTTTGTATTATTTAATTCACATGAGAATTCAAATGTGAGACTTTTAGTGGCAGTCACAAGCTCATTTTCGAAAATCTTTGTGATGTGTGATTATGTGAGTGAAAACTGAGGAATGAAGAGTAATAAAACGCAGTACTTGATTTGAATACTTGATTGTGTATTTATGGCGATGACCGCATGTACTAGGTGAGTCGATGTAATCCTAAATTCTCAATTCTAAAATCAGTCTTAACATGGTGGCATTATACTCTGTGGACAAATTGACCAGAAAGCGCCTCTTACATTTTTGTGAAAAATCCATTTATCCATATGGATACAGAGCACTTCCGCATTGCGGTAGTGTGTAGAATAAGCGAATTCACTGATTTATTAAAGTGTCAACTTAAAAATGACTAAATATTTTCCAATTGGCCTGATTATATAACGGTGTTTATAAAACTAACAGAATTAAGAAATGAAGGTTACTGAAGTGATTACTGTGAAAGTAAACACAACTAGATGTTAATGCCATAATGTTAAATCTATATCTAAAGTGATATCAACTTAAAGCTACATACTTACTGAACATTCCTATTCACGTGTCACATTTTTAAATGTTTTTTATATGTATTGGCCTTGAAGTCTGTCATTGGTAAATACAATTTTTGAAACCAAATTTTCATATAAAGGAAAGTTTGATGGATTTGTCTACACAGCTTGTCTACAAAGTTTTTAGTTTACATAACAAAGATTTTAGTGTATGAGGTGGAAAATAGTTAAGGATAACCCAAAAACATCAATTTTATACTTACCGTCATGTTGTATTGGAACAGACTGAAGTGATGTTAACATAACTGTCAACGCTTTGAATACGTAGCTAATTTCTGACAAACGAGCACTGTGTATGAAGAGAGTGAAAACAGTTAACTTTGGTGCGTACTTATATAATATGATTGGAGAATGTGAGGAAAATATCTGTATATTAAATTCACTATTTAAGTGAAGAGGCAACAAAGATTTTATAAATCTTTTCTAAGTATGCTTACCGTTATACGTTTCCTGGTATTTATTCTTTTTCCAGCTATAGAAGCAATAAATTTCCTATTATTCTAACTTTTCTGAGAAAATGGAAATCCGCTATTTAAGACAAATTAATTTAAATATTCGATCATATTTCATCATCATTTCATTGTGTGAAGAACTAACGAAGTTCAACAACAAGAGGTGACCATTTCACACATTTTTGTGACAGATTTCACACAAGTATGTACCACTACCAAGATATGGGATCTAGTGATGACATCATAATTTATTTTCAACACCATATAGAATCACTGTCATACATTATTATTAGCTAATACTTCGAACTTAACCTATTCGGTATTAGAAGGTTCTTAATAGACCTTAGTGATATTTATCTTAACAATTGAGATTACTACTGAGCACTAAATTATTTCTTATACCAGTTATTGGGTATTCCTTTGCTTTTAATGGTTACTCTCTGATGTCAGTCTACATAAAGAGATATGGTAGAATATGTGATAAATAAAATGAGTATTACGGTGTATAAGAAACTATTTACAAAATTAAGCGAAATCATTTATATTAGCTAACCGGTCAACTGTTGAAAATATATCTGCCCTGATAGAAAACTCTCGATTGATACTCGAAAATCAAGTATACATTCGTGTGTTTAACTTATGATCACACTTATTTTCACAAGATGTTATAAATACTAAAACATTTGACCCTGATAAGTTTGTAATGGAGTTTCGAACGTTACATACAGTGAAGAAAACTTGAATTTATATTCCTGTTTGACTATCTTTCAAAAAACTGGCGTGACTTTAGAGGTGTTTCGATAAGTAAATAAAAATTACACAACAAATATCAATGTAATATATACCGGAGAAAAAATTACATCCGGTTACAAGTCTTGTCCTTTAGATAAAACACAAAGTGTTCAGACGTAAAAGGAATTTATAGTATACTTTTTGGGAAAAAATTTGGAAGAGTGAAGTTATGGTGAAGATGTCCTTATTTAGAGAAACCATATGAAAAATTAACGATTCGTGTAACGTTGATTCAGGAAAAGCCGAATAAAGCAGCGAAGTGATAGTGCATTCGCGCTGTGAGTGGGACTTCCCTGAAGTGACTGTATACGTGTGGCCATGTGAGAGCATTTAGAGAAGGAGAGCTGATTCTACCCAATCTCAGCCGTACCAGGGTATTCGGGGGCCGGAAATGCTGACCTTTCATCAAAATATCTTATTAGTTCCTACTTTTTCTGCGCATTATACAACGTAGCAACTGCTTGATTTTCAAATAATTACTTTAATTATCGAAATCCTGTTTCTTCCAACTGCTCGATGCTATTTTATAATCAATATAACATCATATAATTATTACATAACGTAACTACTCGATTCATACTTTTTTTTACCAAATGTCAAAGCGGGAATTTTCACTGAATTAATAAGTGATTGGGTATAAGTCAGTCAAAATGAAAAAATAAAGAAATATGTGAAAATCGATAAGACTATGTAAGATATGTGTATCAAAAGATGAAACAAAAACAAAGATAAAAGGATTGGAGACAGGGTAGCAGTGAAATGAAGGAAGGATGTGACAGTTCAATGTTCAGTTTATAAGAAAGACTAATAAAGTGTGGTTTATCTCAATTTCAATAGCTTTTGTCCAATCAGTTTTAAAAAGACACTCGTCAAAATACTGTTTCACAGAAGAGAAAGAATATGTACTGACGATACACCAGAAAAGGAAGTTATGGATGTTAAAAATGTTTAGAAAATAACAGATACCCACTAAAATTTATCGAGAAATATGAAAAACGTGAAGATAAAAATCCCAAAGAAACTGATTAAAGTCAAAGTTGATGATGTCACAGGGTCAATCAGTATGAGACTAAAACCTAAATTGACAAGAACTTATCCTGCAGCTATACTGATTGTCCTGTCCAAAACAACATGTTCTTTAACACAATCAAAGGTCAATAGGTATCCCTTTCATGTTATCAACAACTGTGTGTATACATTTACATGTATCTGCCAAAACAGTAACGTTGGTAGAACAGGAAAGAGAGTCTACGTCCGATTAAAGGAACGTATTCTGAAAAGTTTAAAATCAAATGGATTAAAAGAATTCAGCAGTGTCCTCGTAAGACATCTCCTTGACACAGGACATGAAGTCGATAAATTGAAGTCCTTCAAGGTGATTAGCAAACAATCAAACTTCAACCTTTTGAAATTTACCGAAGAGATCGTAATCAAACGTCTAAAACCAGATCTATGTATCCAAAAAGAAACAGTAATAAATCATTCTTTACCCTGGTAACATTATACCCTTTTATTTATTACGCCATCCACTATTCTGAAGTTTAAATTACATCATTGTCATTTTTCTTCGATTCATAACTGGCTGATTTTAATTCATATTTTCCTTTATTATCATTAATCTATTTTCAGTTGCTTCATTACATAATCATCTCATGTTTGTTAACTTTATGAGTTCTAATCGCTATTTCAATGTTCTGGGACTTTCCTTCCCAAACTTTATTTATCCGAAACAAAATTTTCCATGACTTTATTAATTCTATGGAAATCTTCGCAACATGATGATACATATATTCATCCTTCATCACCCTCTTATGTATAAGTATGTCAATATCTGTAATAACGTTGAATTTCAAATGTTTTAGGTTGTAAGCAGCTGATGAGAACCTAACAAAATAAAATGTGTTCATATTATTTTGCGCCAATCTTCATTCTTGCTCTCTTTAAGAAAAAAAAGTGTTGAAATTCACAAAGTTTATTAGATGAACCACCAATCACCATGACAGGGAAAGGCTAATCACACTTTCGTTCTGTATACACAGGTCAGATCGGAAACGTTTGATAGTGGTTGCCTCTGCCAAACAGAAGATAAGCCTTAATATACAGTTGAATTATGTGAAAAACAAAGTCGATTAACTTTTATAGAGAAATGAATAAATAATTTATTAGAATCGAAGCTCACCGAGGTAGTGGACATTTTCCAATCAATCGTGATGACTGATAAAACTTAATCAATACTGAACGACATCGTTGCAGGATACTGCGTACAGCTGTTTTACTAACCATCAGTGAAAAATTTGTACTTGATGGACTAATTTTATAGCCGTTGGTATTTTCAACATGGCCGTTTTCTAACAAAACTGGTGTCGAAATGGTTGACGATAATCGTAGGTCTGAAGGAGTTGAAAAGGCATGTGACAATAATTTTCCAAAACATAAACGAGCAAAATTTTCACGAAACGTTAACCGTCTCAAACGATCAAGATCAATGTCCCACCCCAAAGATTCGTTCATAAGTGCATCTTGAGGTAATGAGGTAACCAAACTCATTTGACGAACAGCTCGACCCAGACCTTTAGAAAAATTTACTCCATTGTGAGATACACTAGAATGGCGATCGACGGAATTATGGTGATATGATCCATTCGTATTAAAATCTTCATTGTTGTTATTGCTATTATTAACATCTTCATTAACTGTTACACTGACTGGAATAGCCGACTGTACAGAACCCAGGCTGAGTAAATTAATTAGACGACTGATGAAAAATTCTGGCAATTGTGCAGGATTCGACAGGAATAAATCGCTAATTAAATCTACGAACTAGGTTTGTTTATGGATTTTTCACAGCAAAAAAAAAATAACAGGAAGGATAGAAGAATACAAAATGAAGAGATATTACTTAAAAATTTATAATAGTAGTAGGCAAAACTCATACATGGTTATATACCATGAATTGTAAAATAATTGTTCCTAACTCACTAGAAAAATAAAGCTTGTTTACCATGTGGTTAAGCTTAGTGAAACTTGAGACGAATTGATAAATAGTAGATAATAAGAAACAAGTTCTGATTGGTTAAAGCGTTAGTTACATATTCATGAAACAGAAATAGCTCATAAAGGAGTACTCTCAACAAAACCAATTTGTTAAGGGCTATTGAAAACCAATAACTAAATGAATTTGAATTAAGAAGCTTTTGTTTAAGATCAGAGTCTGGAATACATGTGAACAAGTTCATGTTGGCTTTTCTAATTATTTATGAAAGTTTTGCTTAGTAAATTAGGGAAATATATATTGATAGATAGTCAGAAACCTTTCCTTTCTGAGAGAGATATAATAACCCAGTCATTCACATAGTGTTGATCTTCAAAAGTAATAAAACAATAAATTCTTTGAAAATAAGAGATTCTAACATGTGGTATACCGCTTGCTTCCCTTTAGATGTCAGAAAAATTAAATAAATTATGCAATTTTACGATTACAAAATATCTTTCTCCATTACTACGATTATTAACTATAAAACCACCTCCCCTAATATGTAATATTAGTTTTCAATATATGATACGCATTGACCCTATGTTTTAATCATATATCTTGTGTCGTATTGTTTCTATGTGATTAGTTTCTGTTCCACATTGAACATTCATTTCAACTGTACTAAATCAAATATTTAAAGTAACTATTTAAAATTATATTGTGCCTTGTAATTTTAGACTATTTGTATATGATGAGAAGTATAAAGAATTTACGTTGCGTAGTAAATTTTGTTATTTTTTTCTCTGTTCAAATTTATCAATAGAACAACCTGTATGGTGTACCAACTGATTTTAACATTCTATTGAAAATAATAATATTGAAAAATAACCAGTTGGAATTTATGGAGAAACTACGCACGGGGATGTTGAATCATCCACCTTTTGAAGATATGACAGAAATTGACAAATTAATTTCTAAATTGCGTACACAAGTGGAAAATGGTAGTAGAATGAATGCATCAGTAAATGACTGCATGAATCTTTGACAAGCAGTAATTTGAACAAAACAGTGGCAGTCATACATGATCCTCGGAGTTGTCCAGCAATGACTGTTTCAGAAACATGCCCTGTGCTGGGTAGAGAAGCAATTATGCCCGAAGCAAAGCGTAGAATCAGTAAATGGTACAATCACAACAAAACGATATCGTGTTAAATGCACATAACATAATGGCAGTACGGGAGAACTAAGATATAGAAGATTCTGTAATTGAAACTCGTAGTCCAGAAGTAAATGAAGCCTTGATGATCCTACATTACTTTGAAACTAAACTCCAGCCAAAACAAGCTTATGAGGGACTTATATTCAGAATTCGAGCAACTCAACGAATACAAGTGTATCAAATGTAACTTTAAAACATTGTGAGATAAAAGCTTCTATTGAATCAACTTCTTAACAGATTTCTCATGTTGTTTTACTAGAAAAAAGGATGTCCTGATGATTCACATATTTTTTATGGAAATTCTTATAAAAATATGTCGAATGAATCAAATCATGATCGGAAACCTGACGCAGTTTTGATAGATGCCGATTTTTCTAATGAAATATTTCAGAAGAATCAAATCCTGATAACCTCATACCAAATGTTGTTTATTCTCACCATGTAGTCACTTGTATATATATATTGTATAACCAGATTATATATGTTTATATTCCTTTTATCATAAGCTTTTATATAACCTATCCGCTACTATGACGCGATTTACTATTCTTAAGTTATTTCCAATTTATCAGTTACAGTCTCTCACACTCACAGACACTTTTGGCTTGATTTTGTATAACTTTTTTCTCATTTTATGGTATGATACGGTTTGATTTGCTTATATACAAACAGCGCAGGTCTGAAACACATGTTTCATACAGTGGAAGCTGAGATTGTGTTCTGGACTTAAGGAGTAAGGTTAGGCGAGAATCTACTATCATGGAGGACTAATCAGAATCTCAAAGTTGACTCTAGGTTGTTCGTACTGGTTACCGCGTCACTGATTTAACACAGTGCCAAGGTTAAATAGGTGGGTGTTCTATTTGGAGATATTTAACAAGGAATAATAACACAACAAATCCTCCTAGAGTAAGTAAATAAGCCTGTTATTTTAATGAAAACAAAAACATAAAATATTTGTACAGTTAACTAACTTTACAATCTAATTCTTCGTGTAGTTGAAACTCTTCAGTTGATAAGGATGATGGTGGTTCACTAAAGGTGAAGTAATTGGTATAGACAGATTAACAAATAAACATGTGGTGTATAAACGTCATCGTGGCTATTAAACGATATATATATATATATATATATATATATATATATATATCATGATTTACGAAACATTGTTTTTTAAACTGACTTTAAATGGTTGTGACCTACAGCTAAGTTCAACAGTTGTATTTCTATTTAACAGTATTACAGATGATAATGAAGATTAATTTGCTCACCTTACAATCTCAGTGATCATTAACGCGAGTTTCTTTAAGTCAATCGATACAGCAAAGCAATATGAACAATTTATAATGATAATTTTGGAAAAATCAGAGTGAGTTGAACGATATTATTGATTGTAAGGAGAGTCTCACCTTCACTGGAAATTAGGGACTTATTCAATCTATCGTATCGTTTCTATAAATGCAGTTCTCTTATTACAATACGAATACTTCAGAAAACTGATAGGAAGATATGTTTGTTTTTATATTTATTCAGTTAGCAGTCAAAGCATGGCACGAAATCAGTTCATTCAAACAGATAGCGCATTAAACATTGCTATGTAAATATAGTTTCTGATTACGCAAAGACAAATTGTTTCTTAAGGACAACTTCGAGTAGTTAAGCCTACTTATTTATGCCTGTTACTCCCAGTGGAGCATAGGCCACCGACCAGTAGAGTGGTTAATCAGCTTGACAAAAATATATATGATTAGTTAATTCGCCATAGAATTTGGATAGGGCCCTGATGATCAATCGAAATTTAGTATTAGAGTGAATAACATAGTTGTTTAAAAAGTTTTGATTAAGAACTAAGCATGTTGCACGATATAGATCTGGTAACAGGGAAACAATATGTTGGAAAATAGAAATGTCAATAATCTGAAGTAGGTTAGTAATGTCACATATATCCTAACAAATTATCTTAAAATTGAAATGTGAGACTTCTCTTCTTTAATTTCTTATTGTTAATACAACCAAATGTGTACAGTACTACTTTTAATTTTCCCATTTTTAAAAATGTTACACATTGAATTACTACTTCAGAGTAGCAACTAAAACCAAACTGATGAATAGTGTTATTGATAACTTTAAATGATATTTTATTTTAAAAGAGGATGTATTACTATTTACCATTCATCCGGATATAAATGATAATTTTAATTTCTATTCATGATGTCTCTCTCTGATGGTGTTGCTAGGGTGATTTCAGATTATCTAGATTTTTTTAATAATAAATGTTAGTTTCAGATTCTGTAGGGAGAAGTATAATTGTTTTCTCCGAATTTATATCTTTACATTGACACTGTTCACTATTGAAATTGATTATAGTCACTTGTAGTTTACCAATTTATCTATATGGTCCAAAGTCATTTTTATTGAGATGGTGAAGAAAATTTGTAGCTTTGTGCTCAGAGAATAAAACTCCATCTAAATCATTTTTTACTATTTTTTACATAAAATTATTCTAATTTAAAATTGTTTTCTTAAATATCAACCTTCTCCAGAACTCTTAACTTCTTCCTATTTTCTAACGCGCTTAGAATATTCCTCAAGTGTTGTATTATTTAGTCGTCAAATGTATGAGGGAGTAAAAGTGAATTTAATTTCAAATTATTAGAGTATACAAATCATTTGTAACTCGGAATTATTGTAAATCAATCATAAAAACTTAACAAATTACTATAATTGAATGATAAATCATAATTCCAAAAAATACATGATGAAATGCAGAGTCTTTTGGTAGCACTGAGCAACAATGCCAGAATGTTTGGGATGCGCTTCTCTCCCTCTAAATGCAAGTTGTTGCTTCAGGAATGGTCTGCGTCAACACCTGAACTAAGGATAGGGGGTGAAGTAGTCGAACGCATTGATAACTTCATTTATCTTGGAAGTCTGATCAGCCCTAATGGGTTGGTGTCTGATGAAATCTCAGCACGGATTCGAAAAGCTCGTTTGGCCTTTGCCAACTTACGTCATCTATGGCGAAGGCGAGATATCCGTCTATCAATTAAGGGACGAGCATATTGCGCGACAGTTCGTTCCGTTCTACTATACGGCTGCGAAACATGGCCTTTAAGAGTAGAAGATACTCGTAAGCTACGAGTATTTGACCACAGGTGCCTTAGAAATATTGCTCGCATCTGCTGGGATCACCGGGTAAGTAATAGTGAGGTGAGACGGGTAGGGTATTAGGGAATGATGGTAAATCAGTCGATGAGGTTATAAATCTTCATCGACTGAGATGGTTAGGCCACGTGCTGCGTATGCCTGAACACCGATTACCACGACGCGCAATGCTAACCGGTGTTAGGGGTAATTGGAAGAAAGTTAGGGGCGGCCAAACCAAAACGTGGCATCAGTGCTTGAAGTCACTAACTTCTGGTCTGAGCCATGTCGGGAGATTCAGACTGCCTGGTTGGGGTCCGCGTGACTATCGTAACCAATGGTTGGAGACTCTTGGTGACATGGCTCAGAATCGATCACAATGGCGTCGGTGTATACACTCTCTGTCTTCCTTAAATTAAGAGATTAAAATCGCTTCATATCTGTCTAGGAACTAATTCTTTCTTCCTTTACTATCTCTTTATACACAATCTTTCTTCTATATATTACCACCACGGAATCAACTACTTCTATGAATCCGGTGTTCATCTTGTTGTGCTAGTGCGGTATGGTAATTTGGACCGATGCATATACGTGCCTGATCCTACAATCAAGTAATTTTTCACTATAGTTAACTCTACATAAATTACATTCAGTTCTTTTAATGAAGTTAGAGTAAGACATATTGTAGTGAACGAGAACTCGAGTAGGATAAACTACTTTATTGTTTAATGATAAATCACACTGTGGCTTAGTGAAATATGAAAAGCATACATGAAATACATTATTTGCATTGTCTTTTACATAATTCATTATTCATTTAATTCTGTTATTATTTCGATTACACTCCAGTTCCCTTCCTGTTCTCTACATTTCAATGTTTTTCTGTCAGGCGTTCCAACTGAGATTGGTGCAACATACTAATTATATCTGTCATTATAAGTAGCATACACCACAATATTAGTTTATAGTTAATACACGTTCATCTATTAGACTGTAATATCAAAGTTATATTATCTAATTTATAGAAAAGTCAATAAGATACTACTTTTTAATCCGTACAAGTATAGTTAACATAAGATTTGAGAATTATTGAATTTTCATTTGACCTGAATCTGGACAAAGCTCTTTAAGTTGTATGTATACGTTATAACAGGAAAATATATTAAAGAAAATATTTCAAAGCATTTTCAATAATCCTATGCTAATAACTCATGCGTTTCTCATTAGATAACTTACTTTTGACAAAAAAGAAAATCTTGAATAGCGTCCACAATATGTTTACATAAATCATGATTTGAAGATATCACTGTAATATATGAATGGAAAAAGTGAAAATAAACAATGTGGAATAATCATACATTACAGATAGTTGAGTAGCATGAAGGATATTTTTTGAAATCTCTCTTCCTAATTGATTAGAAAATAGATCAAAGTGGACATCATATTTTATATGGTACCCACACAATATACATTTATCGGGAACGAAGTTCTTAGCTAAGAACTGAAACCAACTGAAAACATACTCAAAAAAACACAAAATAATGGTCAGTAACAACTTGGCTATCAAGGAAATCTGAATTGAGGATATATTACAGATATTTGTGTTGGTATATATTCTATTTAATAAATACAGGAGATTGTGTACCACATGCCATGATTATTATGGATTAGATTTTGTAGTTTGTAATGAAAAGCCACTTGCGAATTGTCACATTAATGCGCCAATGAATCAGGGAAATTAAACGAAAAAAATGTTGATTGATAAATGATATTCAGAAATACAACATGGCTGAGTGATGGCCGCTTACAAGATCATATTATTTACGTCAAATGTTAAGTGATTTAACATACAAAATAAGACTAATAACCAGAAGAATTGGCTTTGAGTTCAATAGAACAACGTGCTTATATAAAAAACAACAAACAACTAATATGATGATGACCAGATAAAACCAATTATATAAGTCGCTCATCCTTCAACGAAAGATATGACTGTTAAGGTTAGTTCTATCTAGTCAGATTAATGGGAGACAATCGCTTCTGTTAGTTGGTAAGCATTTCATCGAATCATATGATATTCATAAAGATTTCGATAGCTAAATAAAGCATCAAAGTGATCAGCAACAGTAATGTTAGGATAATATGCCTCAAACAAATAGAAAATAGAAAATGAGGCTTATTATATTACAACCCGATCACTATTGATAAATGCTCTTAGAAGATAGAAAAATTATTCTATTAAATACTTTTATATCAGCTGCAATTATATAATCCTAGCATAAACAATCATATAGTTCCTTCTGTACGACTATTACAGTTATAATTTTGAAATTTCCACATTTATTTTAGTTCTGAGAAACAAAACAACATCGGCTCACAGTACACATTCAGTCTGTATTAATTTTATAATTGGAGGTTGGTAAAATATATATAAATTCACAAATAAAAGAAAAAGAATACAAGCAAAGAAGCTTTCCTTATTATTTTCAATTATTGATTAGCTGAAAGAAAACTACGTAACTTACCACCACCGCTACAGGGAATAGAGTCTTTTTTATTGAAATAAGTTTTGGACATAATCATTGGTTTGTTTGACAATACAATAATACCAGCAGTAATCACTTGAAAAAAGCAACGACATGCAAGTAACCAGGTAGTCTGTGATGGACAAGCATATTTCAATGCCATTGGTTGATGTAATGTCTGTAAATGGAATAACAGTTCAGTAGAAAAAAGAAAGAATAAGAATTCGTTTAGTGGGAGAAAAAGTAGAATTTAGAAATACAGATTATCATCACACTACTATGATACTTTAAGAACAAAAGAATTGAATAAAACGGAATAGAATGAGTAAATAGGCTGAATATTAAATTTACGACAAAACTATGGAAAAATTGACTGAGGGTATGTTTAAAAAAGTATTATTATATATTTTGATATATTTTTCGGTGAAACCACGATAAAAGTGAGATATTAAACGAACAAATAACAAAATGATTTCGTAAAATATGAAAACCATACATCAAATACTTCATTTGCACATCATCCATCGGTTGTCTCTTACAAACTTTATGGTTCCTTTAATCCTCGTGTTATTACAATTACTCTCTGCTTCCATCTTCATTTTTTTCAATTCGATCTTCTTAAACTTTTGTTGCCAGGCCTTCTAGTTCTGGTTGATGTTATATACTATATACGGACATAAGTAGCATACACAACGGCAATGATATTAAGATAAAACAAAACATGAATTCAAAGAAATATGTTACTTAACTGAAAAGAAAAAAAACTAAGCAACCAGGAATGTTTAGTAGCGTAAAAAGTGAGTAACAAGTAACAAGAAAGGAATAAAACAATACTTTGGGAAAACTATTCAAAAAAGTTCAGTTTAGTACTACTACTAACAATAATAGCAATAAGTTGTATAGGACTGAGATTGGTTCGCCCATCACAACTCTGTGGTTGGGGTCCTAGAGACAATGCAACTCAATAGCTTGAAACGCTATAAGATATAACTCAGAATAGAGAACAGTGAAGACTGTCCTATAATTCGTTTTTCACATTTTCCATAGATGTGAGAGAAAATCACTTGGTGAATGAAGTTTTTCAATATGGTATTTTAAAATTCTGCAGTATTCTTGTCCGTTTACTTTTCTGATTGCACTGCCCAACTCTTTTATTTTCTTAAATAATCATCAGCTTATTTGAGTGATACATCTCACTTTTGCTGTCCAGTTGTACAAGAGTATACATACAGTAGGTAAAAATGAGTTAACTATTAACCTACGATTTTCACTCTTTCATACGGTATATTCTACGCCCAACCTTAACCGTAATTACCAGACAAACAATATGAAAAGAATAAAATGATAGATAAAACCAAATGTCTTAGAAATATAACACGTACGATTTGGACCAAAAAAAATTCATATCTTTTTAATTTATCATAACAGTCAGCCAGTACCAACGTGGAACTCAGTACGTACGTACATCAGTTCGAGTTTCCATACCACTTTAGCACAGAGATTCAGTTATCAATTCAAATCCCGTAGTGGTAGAGGTACTGAAAGTATCAGTAGTAATCGGGAACATTAGGGTTTGATGATGGTATTTAAGGAGTATAATCCAGTGAAAAAAATTTGGAAAGAAAATAAAGGACATGAAGAATTAAGAAGATGAGAGTTTGAGAGAACACAAAGAGTGGATGCACCTGCGCCATTGCAAACGATTTTGAGTCATGTCATTCACGATATCTAACCATCGGTTAAAATTGTCTCGTGGACCCCGACCAGGGTAGTCTACGCCTTATTATTTTATTGTTATTTGAACGCATAAATATTGGTATAAGAGGGCACCAAATATATATGCGCCATACAAAATTTTATTTGTGTGTGGGCTGTGATACTGCCCGGGTGCCCAAACCGAAGCAGGTGGTTTTCTTAGGGGACCATACCCCGAGCCTTTGACCTAAAGGTCTAACCCACAAGGCAGTGGAGCATCGTGAGGAGATGCAGTCCCATGGAAGCCGGTGACCAAAAAATTTGTTCATGCGCCATTTGTTCCCTCCGGATACTGGAGCCCATGTGCACCATTGATTTGAGATCCGGTTAAAGCGCCGGACATTCGCTTTTCGTCCGCTAATTTTCGTAAACAACACCCCCGCCATGAGAAGGCAGTGAGTAGGACTTTCCTGGCAGAGGTTGTATACGCGTGGACATGTGAGAGCATTTCGAGAGGGAGGGCGAACCCACTCTACTCTCGGCCATACCAGGGCATTCGGGGGCTCAGTCCACTTGTCAGTGACTTCATGGATTTGTGCCATGTTTTGGTCTGGCCGCACCTACCTTTCTTCCAACCTACTCCTACACCAGAAAACATAGCACGTCGGGGCAGTCGGTGGTCGGGCATGCGCAACACATGTCCCAGCCATCTCAACTGATTAAGTTTCACTACTTCATCAATTGATTTGCCATCCTTACCTAGTACCCGTTTCCTAACAACTACATGACTTACTTGGTGGTCCCAGGATATGCGAGCAATGTTTCGAAGACACCTATGATCAAATACTAGCAACCTACGAATATCCTCTACTCTTACCGACCATGTTTCACTGCCATAAAGTAGGACGGAACGAACTGCTGCGCAGTAAACACGTCCTTTGGTTGATAGACGGATATCTCGCCTACGCCACAAATGACGCAAGTTGGCAAAAGCTAGTCGACCCTTCTGTATCCGTGCTGAGATTTCGTCACACACCAGACCACAAGGGCTGATGAGACTTCCAAGATAAGTGAAGCGGTCGACACGCTCAACTACTTCACTCCCTATCACTAGTTCGGGTGGTGGTGTGACCCAATCCTGAAGCAACACTTTGCATTTCGAGGGAGAAAATCGCATTCCGAACATGCCTGCATTGTTGCTTAGAGTGGTTAGGAGACTCTGCATTTTGTCAGCGTCTTCACTAAATAGAACTATGTCGTCGGCATATTCTAAGTCAACAAGTGAATTTTTCGGTAGAAGTTCAACCCTTGAAAATTTAGATATGGAAAGTGTTATCTCTAAAAGCACGTCAACGAAAAAGTTAAACACAAATGGAGAGAGAATTCGTCATAACAGAATACCAGTGCACAGCGATAGATGAAATAAACAAGCAAGGAAAAAGAAATCTTAATGACGAGATTCTAGTGTTCAACACCGACCAAATACGCTGATATTGACCGGTTAATAATCTTCAAAGCTCAGGTAAACTTTATTAATTATTATAATATTCTATAACAGCAAATTCATGTGTGTAATGATATCAGTGCAGTATAAACATTTATAGTAATTTTCTTCCTACTTTTTGACGACAATAAATTCTAAAGAAAAGTAGCTGCATTCGTGATATCACTAAAACTTAGTAACTTCCACAAACCTCTATATTGATAATTATCATGTCCTAAATTCAAGAGGTAATCCTAGGATTCTAGTGAAGAGTTGTGACTAGTAGAATTAAAACCTGGTGAGTGTCAGGCAGTAACCTATTGAAGGTAACGATAACTTGTCTCGCACTACCGTAAATCGATTGAGGTTAGATATGTCATTGAATTTCGGCTCAAAGATCTAGAGATTATTCGTCCATGCACAGGGCTGGATGTAAACTGCTGAAGGCTTTCATACTAGGGACTAAATCTATCTTAATTGCTTCTAACTTGTCAATAAATGTCTAACTTAAGAATCGAAAGACAAAAAAACAAATAATATATATTCAAACAACTATGCAAATCAAAATGAGATAAATAAAATAATAAATATTGAAAAGTCAAAGATGTTTATAAGAAAAAGAACATATGTCGTATTAAATAATGTTTTTCTGTGAATTATCATTAAAAGATAATAACAACGACATGTGATTTTGGCGGTAATAAGAAATGTACTTCATTAAATATTAATACTGAAAAATCTGCTCGAATGAAAAAACATTTACATGATAAACATTCGATATTCAATTTCAGTATATAGAACATCTAGAAACCTACTAATCCAAAAACTAATAATAGAGACATACTTCGATTATTGAGTCAAGTATTTCAACACTGCACATTTCAGGCCATGTAACAGTTGTTTGATATAAATCCACAGCGATTAATAAAGATTTTTCAGCAAATACAATATAATTGAGCGGAACAACATCAAGCTATTAACAAACAAATTTAAAAAGGTAGAAGAAGAAAAATACCAAGAAGTTAAACAATATCGATAATATTTATTAACCTACTCTGATAAAGATTAGATCATCTTGAATAAAGTAGAACATCTAACCTATTAACCATACAGCTTTAAAAAATTAGTATTATTCAAATATGTGGCAAAGTAATCAAACAGGACATTGTTTATTGAATAGTGAAGCATAGGGTTAAGCAATGTTAACAGCACCAAGCTTCTAGTCTTATTTCTTTTCAATGACTTTGAACAACATAAATTATTGTAATTTGGTTTTCTTTAAAAATCAAATGCTTTGGAAATACCAAAATAATAAGCGGTTAAAATTTCTTACTGAAGAAATTCAACCTAATTTTAAATACGAAAGATTAATGGGACACTTCAAATATATTGATCAGTGAATGTTCATAGGTAATTGACAGAAATAATGAAAAATCAAGACTTTTAAAGAAACTTCAATGAACAATATATTGTGTCAGTACATAAGATCAATGAAACACATTATACCGATATTTATGAATGACGAACTCATTATGTAGAAAACTGATGCATAAACAAACCAACAAAAGATTGATTTATATTATACAAAAAGCAAGGAAACAAATATGTTTGGCTTCGAGTCGTTAGGCTCTAAAGGTGTAATTTTTGACCGAATCGAGGTAGAAAAGCTAGAGAACGGATGAATATCCTGAAATATCACGTAGGTTGTAACTATAAAGAATTGTTATCAATCATTGTAAGACTACAGTGGAATAAAAGATGTTGAGTAATTCTACAGTAATAGAACAACCTATACAACTGGTTTATTTAAATCAGATAGAAGTGTATTAATCCTAATCAACAGTTGAACAACTTATAATGTATTCAAATAACAAACTTATTAAACTGCTTACTATCTATATAAAATACGAATGGAATATATAAGGCAAGGAAAAATGTTTGACAGTATTTGCAAAATGTGAACATCCGTTAAGCTCTAGGTGTTATAATAATCATAAAACTTACTCGATGATTGTCCGAATGATGTGGTTTAGGAATTCGAACAGCATAACCGGCTATAGTGAGCAGTAATTGTAATACACGTGGAAGTATCGAAGAGGAACGATTGTTAGTTATGCTACTATTATTCTTATTATTACTATTTTCGTCTTTATTTTGATCAGAACCAAAATTCTGTAAGAAAAAAAAGAAAATTAGGCCAATGTATTGAAAATCAAATAAAAAGCACGTTCGTTTATAAAGAAAGAGAATTTAGGCATAAAAGTTTAAACTCATTACAAATTCTTGTTTCATTGAAGTTTTATTAAACCTGATGAGAGATAATTTGGTAGCTCATAAAATCTAACGAGAGATGATTGAAGTAAGTAGAGAAAATAGATAATGAGTAAAGTTAACTTTTATTTAAATAAAATCTTCTTAATGACTGACAGATACTAGTTACAGAACTATTAAGAAAGAATGGATTTATTAACCAATAAGGAAGTATCCATTTTTAATCATATGTGAAATTCAACCCAGAATTCTTCAATGTTCAATAGTATTTTAAAACCCGATTGAATTACATACTATGATGGTTTATTAGTTAAACCATTACGCTCTCAATAAGTTGCAGGTTCGAAATCGCTTCCATTTAGTTTAGTCTTATCACCCGCATAATATTGCTACCTTTCAGATAAACAAGGAACGCATAAGTCTAGAACATGAAACTTATGCTTTGACAATGAGTTATGATACCAAACAGATTGATGATATACTGCCAAACGTTTCGTGTTAACTGACCATAGTGTTATATATTCCATATTTTATAACGTCATAGCTTCCAATCGAAATATTAACAGTTTTCTCACAGAAAGTAACTATTGAACAGTGACGAATCTATTTCACTAAGTATATTATTTATTTAACTAATTTGGTGGTCAAAAACCGTTATCATATTAATCATATCATTGAAACGATTAGCACAGGTACCCTTAGTATTAATGAACCGAAAAAATTAAATACAGTTAAGTTTCTGGTCAACTTTGAATATATATATATATATATATATATATATATATATATATATATATATATATATATGTATTCACATTGCATATAATCTTGTAACATAAGCAATGACAGACAGTAAGAACAGTATCCGAACTATTTATGAATAATTAACGATAGCATCAGGTTTTCATGGACAACTGACCATAATAAATCCTTACAAATAACTGAATGAAATATTGGAGCTACAATTTAATTATCTACTGTTCGAAAATATTGACCGAATTTGTACTGGCACTGGTAAGTAGTAATTCAAAACAGTTGAGACATCAATTACCATCTCATTGACGGAAGAACAAATAAAAATCAGTACACACTATTCATTTTATTGACTCATATCAGTTGAACCCATTCAAAATTCCGAAGGTGTTAATTTTCTTCAAATGCGCTTATAGTTTTATGATTGTCAATAAATTTTTAGTTATATGGATAATAAGCCATAGATAAAAAACAAATGAGATTTCAGTAAGAATAAAATGTCTATCTCTGTTAATTGTTATATGATTGTTCATCTCTTGGTATATATTTAAGATTAGATGTCACTAAGGCTAAAAAAATATTGTAGGCCATTCTCTTTGTTGGCAAATAAAAGCAAATTCGATCCAAGGTCTCCTGACAATTCCTTCTAACCATTAAAAAGAAAAGTTTAATTTATGCAAGTAACCTAGTAACTTTCGTCGATAGCCAGATACAGTATAATGGAACGGATTTCAATTAGTAATGAAGGATCAGATGTACATGAAATTAGTCACTATTCAGTGATTAATCAGTGGTGGTGATTCACACTGTAGAGCTGGATGATGGAGGTTTGAATATAACAGTGAACACTGGTTAGTTCAAGCACAAAACTTCATTCTTATGTTTCTAACCAGCTATGAGAATTATCTAAACGCATTAGATATAAACTACCTGTTGTTAAGACATTTAACTATGTTCAAGAATTGGAGTCTAGATTTTACTTTACTTGAATTCTAAGCATGCTTCAATGATATGACATGCGAAACATCTAAAACTGAATGAATTTCGTTCAACTTATTATCCGGTTATATAAACTGTCATATTTATCCACTTTTTTAATGTAAAAAATAAGAAACTATGAAATATATTATTGTCAGTATAATATGAAACTGTTCAAAATATTTTCGCTATTCGGTATTGACTAACAAATCAAGGAGGAGAAGATATGTCTTCAATGAAAGTAAAAACGATCTGCTCCCAGAAAAAAACTTGAATTCAAATGATAAAATTTTTGAGGAATATTACCTTTATAAACTGAGATATACACACACTAATGAAACGTAAGCAAAAAAGGGGACATTAACTTCACCTGTACAAGACAATTTAAACAACGTAATACAGCCTCTTGTAACGAATTCAATGCACCATCATCAATTATCATTGAAGGTGTTGTTGATAATAGTGTAGTCATGATAGTTGTAGTTGCAACGGTTGGAAATAAATAATTAATATACAATGGAATTAATACACCAATTTGTAATAATTCAGCTAATCGATCGAAATCTTTCAGATGAAAATCTTGTTTAATATAATTAAATATTGGTATGAATAAATCAAAGTATGATGTGATAAATGATATACTTGGCAAGTATATAAATGGAGGATAACAAATCTTGAAGATAATAAATGACATGGAGAAAGAGCAAAAAGAAAACAAAACAAATAATTATGGATCATTCGTACTTTAGTAAGGTTTCGTATAATGTTACAAATTGTTTGCTTTCTCAACATTTCTGTCAAAAACAATTTAATGTAGATAAGTTTAAGAAGTGATACAGTTAATTGGTTGCTTGAATCATTCCGTTGATGTTTAGTTTCTTATTGGGATTTGGTGCATCCTGTGCAGATTGCATCGATGTTGTCTTCATTTCTGCTTATGATATAGTTAAGTTTTTTAGCATTTGATTTCATAAACTATAAGGGAAACGCGTGTTACTGTTTCGAATTAGCACTGATTTAGACAATTAAAAGCATAAAAACTAAATTGTGTAAATATTTAAGAATAATCAGTTTCTATTACTTCAGTTACGTGGAAAATGTATTGATCGAGGTAACGAAAATTAAAGCTTGACTATATATTCTATTTACATGAAGTGACGAAAATACGCATAAGCACGAAAATAATTATTTATTTATAGACAGTCAGATTCAAAGTAGATGTCTCGAAGTTTTGCTCAACAGATGTGCTTACTGTTCATTAGATCAATCAATCAGTAGTAAGTTGAGTGAGTGTCTATCGATGATATCCGATGACATGTTCTATCATGAAAAAAACAACTGAACGTAGACCAGTGAATTCCAACTAAGTTGTTAAGTAGTTACCATGCTAACATAGAAATCTGAGAATCCACAATTGGATTTCGTGCGAGTTTAGTGGTATTTATTAATAATAAATGATAAATTAAAACGAAATACCAGTTCCGACTTTGATAGTTCAAACTTGTTGATGTTAAACTAACGACCAAAATTATGTTTAGATTAAGTCAGTACCGCTCAGTAGTTCTTAGAAAAACTAAACTTTCATTAATAAACGTTTAGTCTCGAGCCTGTACATATACATTCAAAAGAAGAAACTTGACGCATTTATCCTGATGAGTGAATGTACGTTGTTAAAGATTAATTAATTGTTCATGCATGTACCTGATGCTCATAGAAATGATCAAATAAGCAAAACTAGACGATATAGACTATTTACAGTTTATTAGGAAATAAACAATATCCTAATATTTTACAATACATGTATATATGAAACAACAATCGAATCACTATAAATAATTTACAAACTAACCTTTTCACCAATATCATTAATCGTTATAATACTATTACTGTTGTCACTAATATATTGAGACTCAGAAGAGTTTACAGATAAATTTGTAGTAAGTGGAAAAGTGTTGTTACTATTATTAGACTGAGCAAACGCTATCGCTCGTTTTCCAATCTGTAACCAAGTTTCCCAATAGGCAGACCAAATCAATTTTGATGTTGGCAGTGGTGTTGTAGATGAAGATGGTGTAGGATAAGAAGGGAGTTGTATATCAAGTAAAATTTGCATACAATTTAATGAAGCTAATGAGATTTCTCCACTATCCATATAAGAAGTCACTTTCAAATAATCGAGTAATATTTGCCAACACTTTGTAAAATCACCTTTTTGAAATTAATCAAAATGATAGCAAAATAATTTTTATTTTAAATCGCGTTTCAATTAAAATTAAAATGCTGTGGTTTTTTCTGTAAAAAAAAAGACACTCAGCACGACATTAAATAATTTATCAAAATTAGCAAACTAAACCGTAAAGCATCCATATCAATCACTTCATATAACTATCTGAAACCTAAACCAATTGAAATCCATGAGATCTCTTTAACAAATTACTTTAAACAATCGTAAAATGGATAACATTAAGTGAACTAGTTAGAGAGCAAATTTTTTGTTCTCTATTCAAGCATTTCATTCATAGAGACCATGAATCGACTATCATTAGAAACCAAGAAGCACTGGATGGCTGTTTCGTCTCAGTACAGGACTCCTCAGCGGTTCACGTCAACATTCTCCACAATTGAGTGATTTGAGTCAACTAGGATAATGAAACTTATACAGTAAATGTTGAATATTTATAAGGCACTTGATGTAAAAATCATGAAAAACTGATAAATATAGGCAGATAATAGTTCGATAATATTACAGAGAAAGAAGTGCATAAATACTAATTAGACAATATGGAATATCAAAAGTAATTCGTGATTTGATTATTATAATTTTGAAAAGTGGGATTTTTTTTTAAAAAATATATAAACGAAACATAAATTTCAACAGATTTTCATTAGGACAATTAATCATTAAAGTGAAAATTGAAAAATAAAAATAACAACACGTTTTATAATACTAATGTTTTTAGGCCATGAATAAAAATATGCCATATGTCGCTTTGACTAATTTAATTCTCTTGTTTTTATTTTATTTCGGAGTAGCTTAAAACAAACACTATTTAACTAAGTATATTTGTTTTATCATGCTTTCAAACATTTGCTATAGAAGATTATTGACAATAAAAGAGTCGGTTAATATGCATTATTATTATTATTATTATTATTATTATTATTATTATTATTATTAAGATGTTACTGTCAAAATGTTCTGCATGAGCAAAAAAGGAATTACGAATATAATATGTATTTTGTCAAATGTCTACCTAAAAATGAAATGACAACAATTTAATATCTAGGAATGATGATTGCTATCAAAGATTAATGTTCAAATAAGCAATTACTGAAAATTACTAAAAAATTGTATATAGCTGTTTTATTAAACTGTCTATAGATTATGTAGTAATGTGGTATGAGATAAGAATATGAATAGATATTAGTATGTAGTATGAATTGAAAGTGAAATGTTTACCATCAGAAGATTGAAGGAAAGAGAAGAAGAAAGAGAGCAGAGAGAAATTCGAATAATAGCAGGATTGCAAAAATGATAGAGTATGTAAAAGACAATGCAAGGAAGATGTCCAAGGGATATATATATGATATATTTCATTGTGTAATTTTGCACAAAAAAGTAGGTTTAACACAACCAAGACTTCGTTTATTACACTTAGTGTCGTTCGTGAAAATAGTAATTATACATGATCTGTAAAAACTGCATAGACAAGCTACTACTTTGAAAAATAACGCATACAATCAGTTTGATTAATATTTATGTGCTTACAATCTGTATTATCATCATACATTTTCAATGTACTAAATACTAAACGATTTTAACAATAAAGAACAAAGAATGAAGCATAAGAATAGTGTACAGTAAGAACCACAAAATAAACTTGAATGAAACTACTTTAAATGATCAGAAAACAACCGAATATACACTAGATCTATGTTCGTTAGCATTTATTTTAACTAAATAAAAACTATCGAGATGGTGGATGTGCACTGCCAAGCAGTCCCATACAAGGACAAAACGACTATCGAGTGCTTCCAGGTTTCCCAAGGTGGTCTAACATTGATTCATTAATTATATCAATCTAAATGAAAACTGTTAATTTCGATAATGTAATAAGAAGACGGAGATTATCGAAATTTATAAAACGGACCAATTGTTTTAAATTTCTTAAAAGAAAACTGTTAAGTATGTTAAATCTCCAAAATAGGAAAAAAAACAACATTTTAGTGAAGAAATCACTTGTAATACTGATATATTAAATGAAAAGGGATTTCCGTTTATAAACTTTCAAAATTAATCAATTTTGTGTGGAAATTTTATTTATTATAATTTTGCATTCATGTGATAATTGTTTAATTTATTGGTTATTTCTCTAACACTCAATGAATTTAATCAATATACATGTAATTTATTGGTTTTAGTATGTTTACCAATACATCATCATTGCATAATTTGTGTTCTAGAGTAGTTGGCATACGAATAAAAAGTAATTATTGTATCCTTATTCAAAAAGTCATTAGTCATCTGTATAACTGTCAATCATTGAAAAAACATTAGATAGCTTTGAATCCAGCGAGGAATTCCATGATACATACTAGTAACAACAACGTATTCAGATTAGGTACAATGTAAACTTTAATACACAAATAGAAACGAAAAGAAGCCGAAAAAACAGAGTACTTACTAAGTGTTAATAAATGAGATTGTTTTGATATAAAACAATGTGATACACCAGTTAAAGTTAATACAACTGTTTCAGCCCATTGTTTTGATGCAGTATCACGACTATGATGAATTAATAAACTATTTGGTTTATCGCCGACTTTTTCAACAGGTGCACTTTGATATAAATCATGCACCTTCGATAACAAAGGGAACAATATCTAAGAGAATGAGAGAGAAACAAGTAAAATAATAATATAAAACAGTCACATATGCTTTTCTGTACGAATGATAATAGATCTCATTGGTAAATTCGAATTCATAATGCAAATGTTGCAAAACGAGTAGTCGAATTATCGAACCATATCAGTGGACGTGTAATGAGACAATTAGTGAAACAAAGAAACAAAAATACCGATTAATCCAATATCCACAGACTGCCAGATTGGGGTCCTCGCGACTTACGTGACGAATAGCAGAAGATGGATTACATGGCACAGAATCGGTCAAAATAATGCAGATGTTTTCAGTCTTTATCTTAAATGCGGATACTTTTAATCCTACAGAGTCATTCTTTGTTGTCGAATTACACTGTCTTTGCATAATATTTTCTACTCTATCTACTACTCCAGCACTTTCTTCATAATCTCAGATCGCCTCACTGGTATAATGCCCCCAAATGCCCTGGTACGGCCGAGAGTGGGGAGAGTCCGCTCTCCCTCTCGAAATGCTCTCACATGGCCATGCGTATATAGCCTCTGCCAGGGAAGTCCTACTCACTGCCTTCTCGTGGCGGGGGTGTTGTTTACAAAAATGAGAGGACGAAAAGCGAATGTCTGGCGCTTTAACCGGACCCCAAACCAATGGTGCACATGGGCTCCAGTATCCTGTGGGAACAAATGGCGTATGAACCAATCGTTGGTCACCGGCTTCCATGGGACTGCATCTCCTCACGATGCTCCACTGCCTTGTGGATCAGATCTTCAGGTCGAAGGCTCGGGGTGTGGCCCTCTAAGAAAACCACCTGCTTCGGTTTGGGCACCCGAGCAGTATCACAGCCCTCACACAAATCAATTGAGATTCGTGTGGCGCATATGTATTTGGTGCCTCCCTGTACCTATACTTATGTGTTAAAATAAATAAATAAATAAATCACTGGTATAATATGGACGAGGTATGTTGTACCAGCTTCTGCGTTGGCCGTGACTGAGTGATTAATCTAAAATCAATAAAGTCCTGACTCATGTAAGAACCAGTTTGGTATCAACCTAACGCTAAATATAAAGCAGTTTTTTATCGAAAGTGTAGTCATTTCACTTCAATAATAGCGGTTTTCTTAAACCATTGAACATATTTAAACGAGAAGAAAATTTACGAAATGATTACGTTATTTTCTCCAGAAATTAGGAGTATGGTGTGAGTGATAATACTATATTGTACTTCTTGTAGTTAAAATCTATCTATGTTAAGGGATACTACCCCTAACTCAAGATCTGAAAAGTGGGAAAAATGAAAATTTCGCAAATGCGATAAAAATGATCTTGGTGGTCTTGTAATTGTATTTCGACTCGAGACAATGGGTTTTAAGCGATCTTTAAGCCCTAATGCTTTAGGCTGGGTTATTTAGTTTACTACCCTATATATGTGTTGTATGTAGTATAAGCTATAAGCTAGGCTATATTGCTATGTGGAGCTGAACGTCTCATATGAGACTGGAGGTTCGCCATTGATATTGTGAATGATTCGGCATTACTCTGGCAAGTTTTGCTGACTTCATACGCTGCTTTTCAGTGTTCTCAAAGGCCAATTTCATTAGGACATTGTAAGGCATACCATCATTGCTAACATTAGTGAGTTTGACTGTCGCGTAAGCGGAATAGGTCAACGTTGGTCTGTTCATCCTGTGTATAATTGACTAACGCGATCAATGATGGGAATAATTATACATATGATGTATTTGTGTATATGAATGGTCAACCAGGGTGCTGGGTACTTGTGTGGTTGCGTCACAGGATTGTAGTGTTAAGGCCTACATAGTGTCTGGTTCTCCCATGAAGCGGAATTCAGCTGTACCGCTCGGGTTATAAAGTTTAGGTCTGGATGGTGTCTGGTTCTCCTGCAAGTGGGATTGAGCTGTATTGTTTGGGTTGTCACGTGTCCGGTCCTCAAGGAAACCAATATAAAATTACCCTAGCTCATAAACATATACTATATAATAATAATATGGGAGCATAATAACCGAAAATCCTAAACACTACAAATTTTTTTAAATTTAGAAACTCAGCAATCGTAAAAAGATCAAAAGTATGATAATTCATTAAACGAAAATCGACGAAAGATAAAAGCTACTTTAAAAAAACATAAATATTTTTGCAAGCAGACAAACTTCTGTTTTGTATGAATCGTTTAAAAAATAAATATTATTTTCTGACTGGTCTATACACTTTATTTCATTAAACATTTAACAACAAATCAGACAAACAAATAGAATCAGTTTGACTAATAAACACAGGACATTTGTATTGTTATCTACAATGAGATAAACCGTCTACAATAATCAGTGAATGCTGTCTCAAACATGAATTTTCTCGAGTGCATATGTGACTATGTGAGATTAAATTTCTGTAATCCAAAAGGATAGTCACGATAATGCAACAATATATTAAGATGTAAATGCTTGCGAGTTTCTGATTTGTAATTTGAATGTTACGCTAAAATGTTCTACAATTGTGCACTGTAACAATGTGGAAGTGTTAAAACGTGAAATGACAAAACAGATGAAGAACTTCCTTTTTTAGGACTTATCAAGATATTTCGTAAAATAGAACTGATGATGAGATAAATTTATTCCCAAAAGTGATTTGATTCGATAAAACAAACATTGATATATATATATATATATATATATATATATATATATATATATATATATATATATATATAAACTAACTTTCCATAGCAAAGTGGACCACGTATCTTCATCAAATTGTTCGCTATGACATTCAATTGTATTAAATAATGTTTGACATGCAGATTTCCGAACCGCTGGTCTACGATCTAAGCACAAATCAGCCAATTCATGAAATACACTAATCCATAATTCTTTTAAATCAATTGAAGAATTAATTGAATCTGATACTACAAGTGGAATATTTTTTTGTTCCATAAAAAAATCCGCTAAATGAAGCTGAAACAAAAGCAAACCACAATGTAAAGAGAGAAAATGGTGAGACAAAGTTCTAGATAATGACTTTATAGAAGCTACTGTAGTGAGAAAAAAAGTTTTGTTTTTAATGATTTTATTTTATCAATATGATCATTAAATGATCATTTATAATTTAATTCCTATTTTTACTGACAGTGACTATCGTTTCTCCACTTGAAGAATTATATCGAAATCCTTCATCTAGTAGATATGTATTTGACCTAAAGTCTTTTTAGATATCAGTTTAATGATTTATTTATTAACACTGGTATCGAGGCTGGTAGGACGAAATAGAAGTTCAGTGCTTCTTTAGATTTCGATGATTGTTTAACTAAAAACATCTTGTGACAAAAATGATAAAAATAAATCATTTCCACAAACCTTATGTACTAATAATAATTATATGTTCACTAGTAACTAAATTCGAGTGGAAATTACATGATTAGTGATGAAATGCCGTAACCAGTGGAGTTCCACTATGTCGAGTGTCAGACAGTCACATAATAATGGTATTGGAGGTCGGTTGACCAAAATCTCGAACAGAAAGAAGCAAGACATGTAAACAGTTGGATTTCGACCCAGTGATCTGAAGCTTAAGCGCCGATTTGATGCCTAAAGTCCCAGAGTATGATCCCTGGTGGTGTGGTGGATGTCCTTTGCCGTGGTCACAAACTGGGGCAAAACAGTTGTTTAATGTCTTCTAATTTTCAATAGTTGTGATGTAAGCTATTTATTAAAAAAGCTTTTTACCAAATAATATTAGCTTCACTTCCTATGAATTCCGCTTATATTACACATCTAGGATAGTATACAAAGTATATTTATTACAATACGTTCCATGAAAATAGCACCGTATAGCTCCTGCAAGCGAAATCTCTTAAAAAATATACTTTACTTCTTGATACAAACTATGAATTCCATTTGATCACAGTTAAACAAAATACATAAACTTCTGGTATATTTATAAGGAGTGGATACTTCAATATACAATATGTATGCCTCCAAATGCTCTGGTACGGCTGAGGATGGAGAGTCAGCTTTCTTTCTCGAAATACTCTCACATGGCCACGCATATACAGCCACTGCAAGGTAATTTCTATTCACTGCCTTCTCATGGCGTCACTTGTTTACGAAAATGAGATGACGAAAAGCGAATATCCGGCATTTTAATCGGGTTGTGGGCACGGAGGGTCCACCTACGGAAGTTGGAAAACCCTGATTCCTAACCAATGGTGCACATGGTGTCCAGAGTACTGACGGAACAGATGGTGTATGAACCAATTATTGGTCACCGGCTACCATGAGACTGCATCTCCTGGTGTTTCTCCACTGTCTTGTGGATCAGATCTTTAGGTTGAAGGCTCCGTGTGTGACTCCCTAAGAAAACCATCTGCTTCTGTCTGAGCACCCAGACAGTATCACAGCCCACACACAAATCAAGTGACTTGTGTGGCGCATATGTATTCTTTGCCCCTTTGTACCAATACTCATGTGTTCAAATAAACATAATAAATAATAGATCAGATTGTGGACAGTTAGCATTATTTCAGTTGATCAATAGTGAAATTTGTTTAGACCGTAATTTTTAAAATGGTTATTAAATCTCAGGAACCATTAAAAAGATTCTGACCACTGAAAAACAGAATGTTAACAATGATTGGATACAAAAGTTGTAACACATTGAGGCCAACAACTAGAAGGTCATATTATACACAAATGATATGAATACGCCCAAAATAGTATACTACTTTGAAAATCAATAAGGTGATGATAAGGCTGGTTAGATGCACATACAACAAATATAGATACTGTATCGAAAAAAAGTATTTTGTGTAAGTTCAAATTCAAACCTTCACATTATTTTTCATTGAATTTAATGGTATAACACATCTAAACAAATCATTCACTCCAAATAAAAAGTCATCTTTCATTAAGACTGTCTGCTAACCAAAAGATCAGTAGCACTATATTGTAAAATGTATACAAAAATCTAATCAACACATTGTCAGGCAACCACACCTGAAACCTTTGACCTAAAGATCTAAACCACAAAGCAGGGGATAAACGTTACGAGAGGCAGTGACCAACAATAGGTTTAAGAGCCATTTTTTTCTCAGGATCCTGGAGCTCATGTACACTATTGGTTTGGAATCAGGGTTTTCCCACTCCCCTAGATGGATCCGCTATATTCATCAACCCGGTTAAAACACCGGACATTTGCCTTTGGTTCTCGCCATTTCGTAAACAACAGTGATGCCACGAGAAGGCAGTGAGCAGGACTTCGCTGTCAATGGATGTATACGTGTGGTCATGTGAGAACGTCCCGAGAAGAGGAACTGATTCTCCCAACCCTCGGTCGTACCAGGGTAAATATAACATAAAAGCTGAAATTTATTTATATTGTTTCAAAAAGATAAATTAGAAAACATTTCAAAAGAATAACACTTACCAAGGATCCTATAGCTGATAAAGCAATATTTAAGTCTTGTTTTTGATGTCCAAAACTTGCTGCAGTTTCAACACATGCTAAATAACAATTCGACGGTAAAGTGGATAAATAATCTGTAACAATCAACTTGAAGCATTTAAATGATGTCTGGATCAAATCTATTCTGCATAGTTGACAAAGAAAATTGCACAAAAGCAGGGAAAGCATTCATTAGTTAATGGCTAAAAATCCATTTGAAAAAATCAATTACTAAGTTAAGTTGAATCATAACTAGTAGTGGGATTCAAGACACGTGTTTCGTCCATCTCAGGACTTGTCGGTTGGAGGTCACTATCAGCTACCGATTCAAGGCAATTCACTCAGAATGGGTATATGTTAATGGTGACTAATCAAATGCAGAGCTTAATATCAATAATAAGAAAAACCAAACCTTTCACATTCACACTAACTACTTAGTTGGAATATAAAAATATCAAACAATAAATCTATAAGATTTTACCCACATGAATATGATTACGAAACTATTGAAGTTGCTAAGACGACAATCACTGTCATAACTTTCTCATCACGCCTCGATGTCACACTGTTAGCGCTATATTGTGGAAATATCGCGTAACACGTACCATTTTTTGTCATTAGTTTAATCTTGTACATCAAAATGTATATACTGTGATGTTTACGTATTTGTGTCTTTTTCTTCACAATAATATCTCTTCTGGTTTGCTTGTCTTTCCGACATGGATAGATCGTGCACAGACCAAATCGCGACTCTACGGATCATTATGGAACAATCAATTCAATGGAATTCATCACTCTATATGAACTTCATCGACTACGAAAAAGCATTTGATAGCGTGGACAGAACAACCCTATGGAAGCTTCTTCGACACTACGGCGTGCCTCAGAAGATAGTCAATATCATACAGAATTCCTATGATGGATTAAACTGCAAAATCGTGCATGGAGGACAGTTGACAAAGTCGTTCGAAGTAAAGACCGGTGTCAGCCAAGGTTGCTTACTCTCACCCTTTCTCTTTCTCCTGGGGATCGACTGGATCATGAAGACATCAACATCTGAAGGGAAGCACGGGATAAAGTGGACAGCTAGGATGCAATTGGATGATCTAGACTTCGCAGATGATCTGGCTCTTCTATCGCATACGCAACAACAAACGCAGGAGAAGACAACCAGTGTAGCTGCAGCCTCAGCAGCAATAGGTCTCAATATACACAAAGATAAAAGCAAGATTCTTCGATACAACAGAGCATGCACCAATCCAATCACAATTGACGGAGAAGCTTTGGAAGATGTAAAAACCTTTACATATTTGGGCAGTATCATCGATGAACACGGTGGATCTGATACAGATGTGAAGGCACGGATTGGCAAAGCAAGAACAGCATATTTACAACTGAAGAATATCTGGAACTCAAAACAATTGGCAACCAACACCAAAGTCAGAATTTTCAATACAAATGTCAAGACAGTTCTACTGTATGGGGCGGAAACCTGGAAAACTATGAAATCTATCGTCCAAAAGATACAGGTGTTTATTAACAGTTGTCTACGCAAAATACTTCAGATCCGCTGGCCGGACACTGTAAGCAACAACCTACTGTGGGAGAGAACAAATCAGATCCCAGTGGAGGAAGAAATCAGGAAGAAGCGCTGGAAGTGGATAGGACACACATTGAGGAAAACACCCAACTGCGTCACAAGACAAGCCCTCATATGGAATCCTCAAGGTCGAAGGAAGAGAGGAAGACCAAAGAATACATTACGCCGGGAAATGGAGATAGATATGAGAAAAATGAACAAGAATTGGATGGAATTAGAAAAGAAGGCCCAGGACAGAGTGGGTTGGAGAATGCTGGTCGGCGGCCTATGCTCCATTGGGAGTAACAGGCGTAAGTAAGTAAGTAAGTAAGTAATGGATGAAAACTATTTTCAATAGTTAAATAAATATCCGCAAACCATTTAAACATCAAACTGGTGAATCAGCTGATGAGATAGGAAATGTTTAACGACCAAGATCGTTTGGAAATATATCACGAGAACGCATCCACAAATGCACATGTTTACTTGAAATATATAGTAAACGAATCAAAAACCTTGATGATCTACTGAAGCTTTTAATTCCTACCGAATTACAAACCACGATTTCTAACCTGTTTATAGAGAGAGAACGCCATTATTTAAATTCATCGAAACACCGGCATATCAAAAAATGCAATTCACACTATCATCTTACAAATTAAACTCTATCTTTTCTCACCATAAATGACACACAACAATTTTTCATCCTTAAACGGTACACAGATACATACAAATTTACATACACATCACTTATGAATCACCTTGACCGAAATGATATGACATTAACTTGTTCAGACCTGTTTTTGATTGATCACATTCGTGTTGTTTCGATGTACTATTTAAATCTGGTTATTTATTATCTGAACAAGTAGCTTACACTAAATCATGAAACGTCAGAAAATCTAATTTTTCTACTCATTGGAATATTACAAATATATTATTAATATATAACAATCTACCCAATGCTCAATTTATTCGAAATTGGCAGATAATTCCCATTTAAACACTAAAAATTAAAAACACGAATTTCGGAGAAGAGATCTCTTATCAACGAATTTATTATCAAGCTGTACAATCGTATATTTATGAAAATTTTCCGTTTTTGTAAAAGTACTAATTCCGTGAGGAAATGTGAACACAATTAACCAAGATGACGTAATAGAAAGATTATAATACTAGATTACGTAATACGGATAATAACAAAATATTTAGTGAATATAATAATATGATCAAAATGATTAAAATGTCTTTTGTTACAATAATTAAAGGTCATAGAGGTGTAAACATAAACAAGGTGATATGATGAGCATTTACGAATAAAATAATGAATATAAGACATAAAGTAAAGGGGGAATGCAGTAATAATAATAATAATAATAATAATAATAGGATAATCAAAATACTTAAGGCCAAGGTAACGATAACGATAAGACATCCCAACTTGGTTCTATAAGGGTGAAAGAAAAGCAGTTAGGAGTTATATACCTGAACACCTAATCGACTGTAACCATTCTACGCATCCACATTTTGATTTTAAGGTTATTTATATGATTCGTTCAAATCTACCCAGATTTCTTCGTATCCAACTCTTAGAAATAGCCGAAGCTCTTACCATCCAGGAGCTTGAACCAAAACTACGCGTACAAAAGAAGTACGTTTTATCGTTATCGTTACCTTGGCCTTAAGTATTTTGATTATCCTATTATTATTGTTATTATTATTATTATTATTACTGCATTCCCCCTTTACTTTATGTCTTATATTCTCATTATTTTATTCGTAAATGCTCATCATATCACCTTGTTTATGTTTACACCTCTATGACCTTTAATTATTGTAACAAAAGACATTTTAATCATTTTGATCATATTATTATATTCACTAAATATTTTGTTATTCGTATTACGTAATCTAGTATTATAATCTTTCTATTACGTCATCTTGGTTAATTGTGTTCACATTTCCTCACGGAATAAGTACTTTTACAAAAACGGAAAATTTTCATAAATATACGATTGTACAGCTTGATAATAAATTCGTTGATAAGAGATCTCCTCTCCGAAATTCGTGTTTTTAATTTTTATTCAAAATTATCAAATGAAATCTTGTTAATGATACCTATAAGCGAAATATATTAGATCGATATATGTATAGACAGCTATCACCTGAATATATATAACTAAATTATATAATCATTAAATAACTAATAACTACCCTATATAATCTCTTTTACTAAAGAAATTTTATTTCAATGAAATAATTATTCAGTGTAGTATTTGTTTTTGTTCTTCAGTGCGATATATTATTCGATATAACATTAATTTGAGTGTGATGTTTATTCAAGATACGATATTCATGTATAAAATTAACATGAACTATACACAGCATGACAACCATCATACGGTTTGTCCTAAATCGAAGTATTTTTCATGAATATGATTTTATTCTAATTAATAGTCAAAATGAGTGTACAATCAATATATAAATGAGTATATTTTCTACTAAAGTCTTTGGAGCTAATAAGCCTTCATTCGTACCAGTCTTCGTATTCTCACTGTGTCGTGGGAATTGCAGTGCTTCCTCGTTTTACAAATATGAGTAATAAGCGATTCATACATAACAATTACCGACACAGTCATAAAAATTGACTATCAGTCATAACAAGTTGAAATGTAATTATTTACACTGAGCGGCCAGAAATTCCGCTGTATTTTTGGGTTCAAATCCCACAAAGAATATCAATTCATTTGATGGTGTAGATACAATATACTGATGAGTGTCAACTATTATGTGAACAAAGTTCCATACCGATAGCTTCTATCCACCTAATAAAAATAGGAAAGAACATTCTGACTATCACACAAATAGATAATTGATGGAACTCGAACACTGACATTTTGATGAAAGAGTAATTAATGTTCATAACGGTATAGTGCAAAATACGAATAAGAACAACAACAATAATGATTATAGTGACAATAAATCAACTACTTACTTGTAGCTTTCTCTTATAACTCCAATAATTTTAATTAATCTAAGCCAACTGTATCGTACTTGTTCACCCCAACAGTGTAATAATTGTTGAACACATTTTAATTGTTCTTCTCGTACGTCATCATATATAATGCGATCAGATAAATCCGTTAATGGATCAAGTACTTGAATATTTAGTGCCTTAAGTTTTTCGAGAAAAGACAAAAGGTAATAATATTTATAATAAGTTGTTTCTATAACTAAGTAGAGGTTTATGCATGTTGTACAGATACATTTATAATGTAAAAACTAAACACATTAGTAGATTGATCACATTACAATAGATGAAATAAGCGCAACTCCAAAAGACAACCTTAGAACTTAGTATATTAATATGAAAATGTATCTGTCATCTTCTTTGTTACAGAACGCTTTTACCTAAATTATTTAGATCTTAAATAGTACAAATTTATTCAATTCGATAAATTAATTTCCATTAACATGACATGTAGATAATTTCAAATTATGATTTGCTGAGGCAATTACCTTTAGGCACTTTCGACCAATTTTGTGCATAAAAGGAAATTATAGTAAACCCATAAATGTATGTTCATCAATGTTTATGTTAAACGAGTTTTATTGGGCGCACAATAAAGCACGTTTATCACTGTATCGTCAAACAAAGGAGAGTTAAGGGTTATAAAGGCTGGAATCATCGGCCACTTCGTGCACATACAGGACATCAAATTGATATAAATAAAGCCTTTACAGTTCGCCACTTTATTCCATAGAATTTACTACATGGTATACGAGTTCACACATCTAAAGCTATAAAAATTCCCATTTAGAAACCTAACCATTGTACTCAGAGGACGATCATACAACTCTTTTTTTTTCATACGTAACTATTCATGCACCAACTTTTGTCAAAATATTTTGCTAGTTCTCTCATCAAATATGTAACTTGGCAACTAGTGAATTACTTTAATAGATATAACCGCCTTATCCTCCCACTTCTTTGAACCCAGGACCTTAGGGCTCGTGTGCGAACGTCTAAACTCTAGACCAATGAGTCGGCATCCAACCCTGTTTATGCCTAGCTTATATTGATCATAATCTAGCGTACCCCTTCATCCATTGTCTGAGGTGAATAACCGTCTCACACCCGACATGGATTGGACTCCACAAATCACGGCCTCCCAAAAAAACTCCAGCAAATCCATCTTGAAACTAGTCACTAGTGAGCACTACTGAGGAGTCCATACTACGACGAAGCGGCCGTCTAGAGCTTCCAGGTTTCCAATAATGGTCTAGCTCAGATCAACTCGTGAATTCAGCTATGAAAATATTACAATCTACACAAGTCCCAATACTGATAATATACAGTTGAGTGAAGCCATGACAAAAAAACGCACTTTTCTCCTTTAAAAAAGTTATTTCATTCATTTCGACACTTGATTGACATTTATAACATCACCCCTCCATATTTTTATGACTTCCCTTCCAATATCTTATCTACTAAATTATTCAATAGTTTATCTTTATACTGGTTTTCATTTTAACTCCGTACTGTTTCAAACTGAGCTTCATTAACTAAAGTACAAAAAAAAGACAATTTTTTTTTAAAAATAATAATAATATTGCTAATTGCAACACGAATTCGTTGTTAGTCAGTGAGAAATTTTGTTTAGATTCAAACTATTCTAAAACTAACAATTTAATTATGATAATGTTGTGTTTTATACTTTTTTCAAATATTATAACAACAAGTTGTAGAAATGTACATTATTAATTCATCATTAAAATTAGGTGGATTTTTCTATACAACAAACCGTATTATGAAGAATGAATATTGAATGAGAAAACTACCTTATACATTAAATTGTAAATATCCAATTTAAATCGATTTGAATACAGTTGAAATTATTAAAATCAAAGCAAGAATAAAAAAATAAACTGAGCATAGAGAAACACATTGATTAATACGTGTTTTATTTGTTTTTATTTAGTTATTTCATTATTTAAGATGTTACATAATACAGTTCAACGAATATAACATAACTGAATGTGTTTTTCTTTTCTTCAAATACCTACACTAATTTGATTCATATATTATTACGTTGATTGCTAAATTTTCCCATCAATTAGAGATGATACACATACGCTTAATTACATTACACGGATAATCATTTAAACACTTAAAGAATAAATTGTTACAGGATGACATTAATTTTGTTCAGATTTTTATGAGATTTCAATTACTTTCATCTTCGCATAAAAATATTTTACATTTAAATGAAAATAGTATGTATGTTCTGTTTCTACAAAATGAATTTCATTACGAAACAATGTGTCTTAATTAATATTGATAATATATTTTACTTCTAATAAATTTACAGGATAATTTAGAATTATGCTACGTTGATTTCTGAAAAATCCTAAAAAAAATATTCAGAGAAGAGATCTCGTATTCAAAGAAAACGCCATTTTTTAAAAAAAATTTATATCATTTCTTTTCAAGTAATCCGTCTTAGGAAAAGTAAGACAATTATGAATGAAAGAAACTAACATAAAAATATGCTAATAGTTAACTAAAGAGGGAAACAAGTGAATAACTACTATTACTAGTAAAACATTACTGAATAAATTAGTTATGCTGACAGACAGTGAACAAATACTACTATCATGTAATCAATAATTAAGGAAACAATGACGTATAATGACAGTAATAAAATGAGTTCGCACTAAAACGAAATATGAATGAAACAAGAGTTGAAAAGAAAAATACTGCCTATTTTTATGTTATATCTTCTTAACGCATTGTGTAAGGTCTTTCATGGTTGATATTATGAAGTGATTTTGATTAGAGAATTAGTGAAAACAAAGAAGCATTGGTTAGCTGTCTTATCCTAGTATGGAACTATTCAGCAGTGGATATCTATAACCTCATTAGGATTCAAGCTCAGGACCTTCAGGTGTTATGGCGAACACTTGTCCTGTACACCATCTAGTTGGATGAATTCAATAAAACGGTGATATTGCACAATTATCCCCTAATGGCATTCTTAGATAACTGCATCGCATTCAACATGATTGGCTTTCACTTGTTACGGCTTCTAACTAGAACTCTGTCAATAAACAACGTTTAGAAAGCAGTCACTAGTAAGTACATGATTATAATCACCGTAGATAATTTTTGCAAACTGTTGTACAATATTCTCCTACCTTTATATCTTTTTTAAATACTTTCGGATTAAATCACAACGGTAACACATGCTGATTTTGGGTAGATACAAAAACTTGTATGCACAAGATATGATAGATAAGACAAACAACAGAGTTTAGTTTATTGCTACATCAACATTTAACACATAAACCTTCTGTAGAAGCAACTATTCACCGGGCGCTAAATATGATGTAAGTTGAATTTCGTGCGATCTGAAAACTTGTTTCTGTATCCCAGTAACAACAATGATTAATATCAAATAAAATTGGTGACACGCTATATTCTATCTAAAATATATGAATGAAGAATGCGAAAGCTATAATAATAATAATAATAATAATAACAATAATAGAAATATTACTGATAACCTATATATATATAAATAATTTGATTCTAGTAAACACTTACTTCATTTAGCCAAAAAGGAGGATTCTGTGGAGCAGCAATCGCTTGTCTGATTAAACTGGTCAAACAGCTTGAAGACAGCTGACGGAGAGTGGCGTGAGTGCAATTACACACCTAGATATAATTACGTAAAAATTAAGAAATCATTCGTACACTGGAAATAAACGTGCTTATGCGGAACAATATGGTATTCCACTCTTCTACGTGATGAGAAATATTTTCCAAAAAGGTGCTTTTTTCATCTCTTGGAACAGGAGATTCATAAGCAACTAACAGGTGACTATACACGAAAAATAAGGATAATTTTTCCAAATAAAATTCTTTGTGTGGTACAGACTCAAATACTCAACATTGAACCACACTATGATGGCTCAAGCCTAAATTGATAAAGCTTCACAAGAACGTGCTACTCAGAAGCTGAAAGTTGAGTACTTTGATTACTAAGTCTTAGTTCATGTTACGAAATATAAATAATCCTGAATAATATTTCACTAAAGTGTAGATCATTCAGTATAATTCGAACTTATTACCAATTACTGATGTAAATATTTTTTATAAATGAGATCAAATGATGAATATGAAATTAAGTTTTCTGTGTTGATTATGACTTGTAGAATCAACTATGCAATCGACATGTCTTGACTTTTCTCAAGGTAATCTGGTAGATGCACCTGAATGCAAAGTAGAATTGGTGAATGACAAAGATCCATAGTTCAGTAGGAACAAGTAAAATGTTATATGTTTATCGAATCGACTAAACGCAAAAACCTATCGTTGTTAGGAAGCAGGGATAGATTTTTCTTTGTCAGATTCGAGTCGATTGAGATGAGTAAGGCTGAAAAATCGGTAAGAATCTTTTAGAATACACCAAAATTCACAGTCAATACTTAAAATGACCTCACCAACATATTTTCAGAGTAACAGAGAGCTATACAAACAAAGAAAAGGTACTGCAACGTGATCACAGGCACCCGGATTGATTGTAAACTTAGTTATGTTGTAGTTTTACGAACGATTAAACTGATAATTTGAATAGGATATCCAGACTACACATTTGTCAAAACTAAAAAGAATTAACTAGAATTACTTGAAATTCTATTAACAGCGTGTTTGACAGTATGAACTTCACATCAGAAAAAGAATCTGTCAACAAGCTACCATTTTTGAACATACTAATCACCGGAATTAATACTGTAAAACTTTGAACACATGTATACCGATCAAATACACAAATACAGAAGCACAAGTTTAATAACTCGCAAATCAAGCTGTATACAAGGAATGAAGAAATATCGCAGATAAAGAAGGTTTAGATATAAAGGGAGCAAAAGAAAATATTTGAATACACATAGGAAAATATATCATAAACCATGGGAAAATAGAACTTTTACCGTACTGACATTTTATGATATCAAAGCAGAACTAATAAATATCAAAACAACAATTAGCAAAAGTATGATTGACATCTATCAGTTAAATTTATAAGTTATCATAAAAAAGAAGTTAGACTGAGTTATCAATTTACTCTCGATTGAGAGATATTTGATATGAGCTTCGGTTAAATGGGTAAAACTTTTAATGAATAAAAAGCAAACAAAATAATTATAATAAATCATAAGAAAGTCCAATTCTATGCCCACATGACACGATTTTAAATGAAATACGATACATACTCATCCAATGTATTATAGCTTTTCTCTCTAAAGCTAAACTGCCCCCAAATGCCCTGGTACGGCCGAGAGTGGGGAGAGTTCGCTCTCCCTCTCGAAATGCTCTCACATGGCCACGCGTATATAGCCTCTGCCAGGGAAGTCCTACTCACTGCCTTCCCGTGGCGGGGGTGTTGTTTACAAAAATGAGAGGACGAAAAGCGAATGTCCGGCGCTTTAACCGGATCCCAAACCAATGGTGCACATGGGCTCCAGTATCCTGAAGGAACAAATGGCGTATGAACCAATCGTTGGTCACCGGCTACCATGGGACTGCATCTCCTTACGATGCTCCACTGCTTTGTGGGTCAGACACGTTCAGGTCGAAGGCTCGGGGTGTGGCCCTCTAAGAAAACCACCTGCTTCGGTTTGGGCACCCAAGCAGTATGACAGCCCTCACACAAATCAATTGAGATTTGTGTGGCGCATATGTATTTGTTGCCTCCTTGTACAAATGCCTATGTGTTAAAAATAAAATAAAATAAAATAAACATGCCAACCTATTGGCCATAATATATAATAACAAATCGGAAGAAAGAATCTAACCAACCAATCACGAAACAGACTAGTGATCTGCAAGTCTATATTCAGATATTAATAAACCGATTTATGTCATAACGATTGAAGACAGAGGTATGAGTGTCAGGAATATTTTGATAATTAAAATATAATTCGTCGAGTAAAAAGGACAGTACAAATATCTACTGAATGACGACATGGATGATACTAATGACAATTATGAAAAATATCATTTGTTACATAATCTTATCGGTAGTAATATTTCATTTCATTCTCCTTTTATATCAATAACAACACCATCAATATCGTCAAGATCATTATATACTACTAATTCTTCATCTACAGTATCCACATCAAACGGATGCCCAATAATACCTAGTTTAAAACAATTTGAAATTTTCTACTCAACAATACACGCTTATTTAGCTTGTATAGTGTGCTTATTTGGCACAGGAACAAATCTTTTAAATTCTATTATATTAACGCAAGAACAAATGCGTAATCCAACAAATGCTTTATTAACTGGTGTAGCAATTGTAGACAGTTTTACAATGTTAGCATATAGTCTACAAGTTATCTATTTACATTTTCTTACATCACCATATCCAGATAAATATCCTCATAGTCAATTAGCTGTTTATTTAATATTGATAAATCATGCAATCAGTATAGGCAGTCATACAATATCAACATGTTTATTAGTTCAATTGGCAGCATTTCGTTGTTGGGTATTATATTCAAGAAAATTAAAATATCTGTTAAGTTTACATCATCATTTGACATGGATTATGATTAGTTCACATAGACGGTTTATTATTTATTGTTATATTAGTGCAGGAATTATAGGATGCTTGTTATGTATGCCAACATTTATTTTATATCAATGTGAATTAATTGATGTGATGAATACATCAATAACATTGAAGATAAAGGAATATGATAAACGATTAGATAATACCAATAACAATTTTAATGATGATGATAATAATAATAATAATATTAAAATAACAAACATCGAAGCAAATACTACCACTAATAATAATAGTACCATTACAAATCAGCATTTCTATTGGTTCAAGCTACATCCTAATGGTCAATTATTGGAACGTGTACATTTTATTTTATATGGATGTTTTGTAAAACTTTTAGCATCGATACTTATTGTTATATTCACTGTATTAATATTAATGGTATTACATGATGCAAGGCAACGATATCGGAAATTGCAGACATTACCAATTGAAATAAAATTGGATAATAGTAATATGGGAAATGATAGTACTAACAAAATTGTTAGTAATAATGTCATATTTACAAGAAAACTATCAGCTAATTTATTACGTCCAATCATATGTAACAACCCTTCGAATAGTATTGCAATGACAAGAAACTCTGATCTTAATAGTGATTATATCGATGATTTAAGAATAAGAATTCATCAGCATAAAATAAATACTAGTAATATTGATCTATTGTCAACAGTACCAAAAACCACTGGAAATCCATTATTCTTACAAATATCTTCTTTAACTCCAAGTAATGAATTAAGAAACAACGAATTGAATAATAGTAGTAGTAGTAGAAATAATAAAAATAACAACAATAATAATAATCCAATGACAACACCTAATCGTCGTCATTCAAGTCGTCTTCTTCAAAAATCTCGTGAAAGTCAACATGTTACAATTATGCTTATTATAGTTGTAATAAGTTTTGTTATAACTGAAGCACCACAAGGTGTATTTAATACACTTGTTGCGATTAAAGGTGAATGTTTTCTACATACATTTTATTTACCACTAGGTGATTTATTAGATTTATTAGTTTTATTAAATTCTTCAATTAATTTTATTCTCTATTGTGCAATGTCACAAATGTTTCGTGTGAATTTTATTAATTTATTAAAAAAATTATTATTATTATTCACATTGTGATTACAATTTATTGCAGTAATTCTAACCAAGTCATTATGAATGTTGCGAGTTAAATCATTGTACACGTGTGAATATTACGTAATAATGAAGATAACTATGATAATAATAATAATAATAATAATAATAATAATAATCACTACGGAAGAATTTAATAATGATCAAAACAGATGAATTTTTGAAAACTTAAAAAACATCCCAATGAAATCCTTCATATTTAGATTAAATGAATATATTACATAATGTATACATTAAATTCAGTTGAGTGAAATCAAAACAAATGACCATCGGAAAAATTTGACTAAGTAATGTAACGAATAATACAATTAATTGTATGAAAATGATATACCGTAATCATGAATAAACGCATAAACATTTTGCTTATTTGTTAAAGGCTATCATGTACAATCTTTATCCATCATTGTTAATTTTGGCATTCAATGATTGTGAGTTGATTAATTATATATAACTAATATTGCTAATAAAAGCCTTTGTTTATTAATATGATTACATAAGAAAGGATATATATATATATATATATATATATATATATATATATATATATATATATATATATATATATATATATATGCACGTTATCTACTTCGCGAACCTATCAACTGAATTCATTCTGTAAAATACAATCGAAATAAAATTCAGCTTACTGCTAATTGGCAACTAGTAAATGTATTGGTTTTTTTCGTTTACAGTATAAACAATTTTGAGATTGTTATTATGAATAGGTAGTAATACATAAATTAGCTTATAACAAATGGAATCGTGATTTCAACTGTGAAAATACTACAACCTCCAAAAATCCCCATACTGATAATAATCATGTGTTCACTAATGACTAGCTTCAAGATGTAACTCCTAAAGTTCTAGTGAGAAGCTGTGACCAGTGGAGTTCAATCCGTGTTGAGTGTGAGAAAGTTATATGAAAGTCTTAGATTCCAGTCCTGTGTGTGGGACTGTAGATGCGTACTGATGTGGAGTCCTATACTAGGACGAAATGACCGACCAGTTATTCCAAGTTTTCAATGGTTGTCTAGCTAAGATCGAGTCGTCATTTCAACTGCGCAAACTATAATAGATTATTCCTTGATGACTCCTTGATCTATGTAATTTAAAAAAATATTCGATTTATTTAGAAGTGAATTTTGTGATAAAACTCAATAGATCTAAACGTTTATTTTAAGTTCACAAGGATGCTTATAAAACAGAAATGTTTATATTCTGAATAATATGTAGATACAAAATAATTTCATTTCGAAATAATGAGCTGACTTACAGTTAGCAGTTGATTTGATATAATTTTCCACCACAAATCCAATCGATGCACGTTAACTAATCCAATCTCTGTTAGTTTAGCAATAGGAAACTGGCTCGGTTCCTATAAAAAAAACAAGCAATTGTGTAAGCATGATACAAGAGATATGATAATATAACTAAAATATAGCAATAAACAAAGATGTTATCATTGAAATATTCTAAGGAACAGAACCATTTGTACTCATTCATTTATTCAATATGCAACAAATTCATTTGTAATTCACAACATAAAATCTGAATTAATAATCTGTAACATATTCTTGACTTAATCTGTATAAAAATGTATTACAATATGATTGATATATTACAGTTTGCATCATAGGTTAGTAGTAGTTTACGATAAACGATTTCATCTTAACATAAATTAATTCAGTTTTAAGTAAACTTAACCATAATTCTATTCAAAAGAATATATATATATATATATATATATATATATATATATATATATATATATATATATAATTAGGTTATAATTTAGTATAAGCTAAGCTGCCTAACCAATATGTAGGATTAACATGTACTAAACTTCATGAGCAGATTAAGAATCAACCCATTATGAAGGATTCCCAGTTATTATTGCATAAAATTCTGATAACATAAATGAGGAAAATATTGATCTGTCTGAAAATTAAAACAACGAGCAAACACCATTTGGTCACTTTCTAACGTCAAACATAAGTAGGTAGGTGTCGTTTACAAATAATTATATCCAGCTATTTGTTTATCAATGATACCAATGAAGGTAGCTATTTAGTTTCTTCATTTTCACTGAATTTCTGTGTCAAATCATTTATAATAATAATGTTTTTTTTCTACAAACAAAATCAATAATGTATACGAATATTCGTTAAGATTAGAACGAATAGTTTGACAGATATTGGGCGTCGAGTATAGAGAAGTCATTATATATGTAAATTATATTTGAAATAATCTCAGCGACTTTATATTTGATGATCAAATCGAAACAGACTAGTAATAAGTGCGCAAAAGTAGTAAAAATGTGGGTGACCCCATAATTACTCAAACAATTAAAACAAAACTAATATATATGATAATAAGATTATTTATGAAGAAAACTATTACTGATTATTTTAATCTGAAGTTGTAAACAGTGAAGTAGGGATGATACTTATTTAAAGAAGGAAATATATGTGCACGATATATTTCGAACAATTAGAGAAGATAGCTATTATAAAACAGAGAGAATGTAGTGTGAAAAGAAAGAAATTCCGATATAATTACCCTTATAGGATGAATGTACCATGTTTTTACGAAATACAGGTTTATGGACTCGGCATTCGGATACATTGTTAGTTAGTTACTGTCAATAATCCAGGCTAGAATTAAGTGTAGTAATAATCATCCTCACAGATCAAATAAGTATATGTATGTGCTAAAAATGAAACTAATTAACTTATCGAATAACGGGGCGAAAAAGTGAAAAGTCAATATTTTTCTAGAAAATAAAAAGTGACATATGAACTTACTCGATTGTTTTTCACTGCTTCTAATGCATCTGATGAAAGACGGCAAAGTGCTGAGATAAAATTGTGTAGAGCATCTACACTCAAATCGCTTTTTGAACGTATTGTAAAGGATTGATAATGTACAAAATATTGGGGAAAGATAAAAGTGCAAAATAACTATAATGATATATAATTGAGCATTTATTTCATTAAACTGGTTAAATTTCGATACATTTCACTAAAATTAAATCTAGTCACCAAGTTTATAGATCATATTACTAGAGAGTGACATGACTGTAATAAAGTACGTGTGCACAGGAGGAAAATAGTTTATATAATGTAAATCAAATAGTAAATGAAATAATATTGAGTAAAATGTTTTTCTGAATATTAGCACGGTAAATTTTGTTGTAATTTAAAAATTAGAAACAAGAGAAGAATGATACCTTGAATGACAACAATAACACAGACACATATAAACACTATCTGTTAGGTTACTTTAGATAGAATGGTAGTTTTCTGATGACATATACAAAAAAAGGTGAACTAACATAGTGCAATGGACTATTTAAACTTGGTTTAATTTAAATTATTTATTTATTCTCTGAAGTGGCTCACACTGGGTCACGAAACGCCAGAAGATTAAAAAGTTTAATTTTTCTACTAATTAGGATATTACAAGTATATTACTTTTATTAATAACAATCTATCCAATGCTCAATTTATTTGGAATAATCAAATCAAACTTTAGTAATGACACCTATGACATCTCTACTATATAATTTGACAATGCTTATTAAATTGGTGGTTTAGTACAAGTTACATTGATACCTTCATTGGGTTAAATAAAAACAGCTTCTAGAGAGAGAGAGACTAATTGAAACATGAAGTAGAACCGTGATACAACCTCTTTACGACGCAAAAATCTATGCACTCATCTATGAACAACACTTAACGACTCTAAACCATAAATACTATCTGGCTGAGCAAATAGAAGTATATATAATGGTGTTCAAACCTACAATCAAATGGCTAAAAATACACTATTAAATGTAAATCAATAAACTTAGGACAATTTCTACACTGAAAACTAAATTGAACTTAGTAACACACAACAATATGGAATAGAATATTGTAAGATTTACAATTCCTTAATTACTATAAACGTTTAAAACCTATTCATTTAATTGATGTTTACAGTAACGTAGAACAATTATTACTTTTAAACGTTCTAACTATTTACAAGAATAAATAAAGAAAATATTAAATTATGTATGTACTCGACATCAGGCCCCCCCAGAAAAATCATTCCGATTAGTATACACAAAAAAGATAATATTTTCAGAATAAATTTAATTTACTTTGTAATTCTAAAGAAAAGATATCGAAATAAATTAACCAGTTTTTATTAGCTTAAAGATGAATTCATTATTGAATCTCAATTCATTATAGACTAAAGTTGGTCATATGAAAAGGATAACAATGAAACATTTTGAGCTTAATTTTTAATTTCAATTTTATTCATGACACTAATCAATATGATGTATATAGGTATAAAGGATAAAGAGATTAGTTATTCTAAATAACAACATTATTAAGGTAATAATACCAATAATAATGACTGACTATCATTTAGAAGTAAACTAACTCCAATTATCCTATCATACAATATTTTCTTTTTTTACAGTAAAAGAGACAAGAGGAAAAGAGAAAAAAATCATTTAGAAGAATATAAACTAAGAAAAATTGAAGGGTGAATTAAATGAATAAAAACTAAAATTATTTAACGGTTTAAATGGTAAAAATAATAAAGTACATTATTATTATTATTTGGTTCATTTCCTATATTAAATTATCGTCACAATCAACATTTATAAATGACAAGTCCATTATTGTTTGAACGGTAAATATAGTTGGATACAAACTGGAAATATTCTTTTAACTCGACTGTTTTTTTGTAAGTTAAATTTTAAAATGTAAGGCTAAATAGTATTGTTAGTCGATTTTTGTAGTGATTACTATCGTATATTAGACAAAAATGCTTGAAATAAACAACCTACAACTCAAGTAATATTAAGGGTAACTACTTACCTGGACTGAATAAAAATTTGTGTAAGCATTGATGATAATGATGTTAATTCAGATGTCACTGAGAAAAGTGTTGTCATAGAGATATGTTGTGTCGGAACTTGATTATTATTATTAGTAGTAGTAGCAACACCAGTAGTAATATTAGTACTGGTAGTTCCAGTATCAGCATTTTCATTTATTGTATCATTTGATGAATTAACATTTTCTTTTGTTGTATGAGTTGTGAATGATTCTTGAACAGGTTTGAAAAATAATTTAGCCGATGGTTCAATTTTCAAGTTCAACATCCAAACTAAGTGCTGTAAATTTTAATTTAAACAACATATCAGTCAAGGGAAAAAATACGAGAACAATATATATATATGGAGAAGGAGACAATACGACTTAGTGTTTAAAATATTTGATTTCAACAATTAAGCTGTTTGCGAAAACCTCGTAAGACCTATTTCGGTTTGCGTGATTATTAGTATCGCCAAAAATTTATACATCTAGAGTATGACTTAAAATATATGGACCTTAAATTAGTTACGGACTTCGATTGTATATTAAAACGGTGAGAAATTTTACATATTGATAAGTCATTTATGAGATTCATTTAAATTTGCCTTTCAAATTTTTCATAACAGTAATAAACAATCCTCAACTTATATGTCAAAACATTATCACTCTAATTTAGTCTAAATCAGGAATCAAGAGTTAAAATTTGTGAGAAATAGAAATTTATTGAGATGATTTGAAGTCCATTGGCAGTGGATACTACCCAACCTGGTTCTTATTGAGGTGAAAACTACAAGATATATATCCAATACAAATAAGAATCAATTGGTGCTAAAACTTCATAGAATAATAAAACTCCGCAACCAAGTATAGTTTGACATACATGACTGTATAAATTAAAGTGAATGAAACAAGTTACAAATTATAATCCGAATCTTTAAATACATTAACTATTTAATTATTGGTTAGAGTTTCAAAACTTATTTTTCGAAGACGGAAGTTACTTTTTTCTAACGAACTAATTTAACCATCCCATGAAATAAAAAACATCAAGTCGAACTATAACAAGTGAACAAGGTAAATTATTCAGGAATAATCACTAGGAAATAAAAAACAGATGATCCATTTATAATCGGACAGAATGAATCTGAAAATTACTCTGAAAACTGATAATAAAGAAACAAAATGATTATAAATAGAATTTACTAGTAATATCAATAACGAACCGTTAAAAAAATGTTATTTCGGTGCTACTACTAGCAATGAATAATGGTAGATAGTTGAATTCATGGGTCGATTAAAGCTAGACCACCATGGAATGTCTAGAAGCACTGGACGGCCGTTTCGTCCCAGTAAAAGACTCCTCAGCAGTGCAAATCTACGATCTCGCACATGGGATTCGAACCCAGGAAATTGAGGATCGTGCACGATCTTTTAACCTCTAGACCACTAAGCCAGCATCTAACGGTGTTAATGTCTAACTTCAACTAATTCACGATATTGCGCGACCGTCCACCATTGTCCAGTGCTTTTAGATTTTCCATGGTGGTCTACCTGAAATTGACTGATGAACTCAAATATTAAATTAATACAATCTCCACAAACTCCCAATCTGATAATAGGAGATAGTTTGAAGACTACAAAAAAACATCGTTTTATGAGGGAACATAATTACTCATGTGTTTCAAGAAATGGTTATTTTAAGCAATTAATGCACACAAAAAATACTTAATCTTGACATGTACACACATTATCCAGAGAATGTTTGTTGGTGACCGTTGATCATGGATAATGTATAGATGATGGTAAATTATTAATTAAAAATTAAATTCTTCTACAACGGTCAAAACAAAATTCCTGATGATATTAAAAACAAAGATTAAATTATTTATTAAATTAAAGAATAAAACAAACTGTCATTTATTTAAATTTGGAAAAAAAATTCAGATAAAATGTTTGCATCAAGTAACAGTAGAATCGTGAAATAAACTATTGAGACGCATCTATCGTCCTGGTACGTACTACAAAGATAATCCATTTTCCAACTGTCGATTGCAGTTCACAAAGAAAAAATACAATACACAGAAATTTACGTGCAATTCAATACAGTCTATTCATCATTATGTTAGAAATGAAAGGAAAAAGATAACAGTTATCGTCATTTCTTTTTTGAATTCTACATCAAGTTACCGTTTTTAATTTGTCGCATCTTTTAATAGTAATTTCGTAGAGTGTATTAAAAATGGATTTTTAACTTTAATAAGTGTAATACTCCATCATAATTGACAACCATAACAATAAAATTCATGGATATTTACTTTTTGAACACATAAATATTGTTACAACGGGGCAACGAACAAATATGCGCCACACAAGTCACTTGATTTGTGTGTGGGCTGTGATACTGTCTGGGTGCTCAGACAGAAGCAGATGGTTTTCTTAGGGAGTCACACACGGAGCCTCCAACCTAAAGATCTGATCTACAAGACAGTGGAGAAACACCAGGAGATGCAGTCTCATGGTAGCCGGTGACCAATAATTGGTTCATACACCATCTGTTCCGTCAGTACTCTGGACACCATGTGCACCACTGGTTAGGGACCACAGTTTTCCAACTCCCCTAGGTGAACCCTCCGTGTCCACTGACCCGATTAAAATGCCGGATATTCGCTTTTCGTCATCCCGATTTCATAAACAAGGCATTGAGTAGAGCTTCCCTTGCAGTGGCTGTATATGCGTGGCCATGTGAGAGTATTTCGAGAAAGAAAGCTGACTCTCCCCACCCTCAGCCGTACCAGGGTATTTGGGGCTAAGTTTAGTGTCAGCAGTGGTATTCGAACCCACGCTCACAGAGTGGACCGCGATCTGAAAGCAGCGCCTTGAACCGCTCGACCATCCTGACCATAAACGGGATGTCGCTGCCACGATGGATAACAGATACTACAATTATTATTATTAATGACTGAAAGGTCAAACTGTTATCAAAAAGCAAACAAGCACACATAAGTCAGTTAAAATGATAAAAAACTTTTAAGTGTTTAAAAGTAGAAATTAATATTAGTTGTATTAATAAAGCAGTCATAGACGATGTGGGACTTGACACAAATGTTCAGATTACTACAAATCATACTGGTGGCACATGGGAAGAGTTAATAAATATGAGGAAAACTAAAGAAAAGCAACTAATATCAACCGTATTAAAAAACATAAAATAAGAAATATATTTTCAAAACGAACAAATGGTATGGAAAAAGGGAAAGAATGAAAAATATATTAAAATTTAGCATTAAAGTTAGATAAGTAATGGATGGAATTGTGATAATAAGACTGATTTTCGAAAAGATAAATTAATGATATCAACTTTGCATACAAACCAACCTAAAGGTTTATATGTGAGGCGTAGGTCAGTCAAATGACAAATGAATTAATCGACTTTATATTAACTAATGTGTCATCGGTTCTCTTACAGTCAAGGAAGTGACTAAACGTGCACAATACATGTCTATAGTCAATTAATGTCTAGGGTTTAATCAATTACTTGCCATTTATATCTAGGATCTTAAACTTAACCTCAGCACCGAAAACAAGTAATGTTTTAAAGTCTACTGAGATCAAATAATTGTAACTTACAAAATACCTCTACATTCATTGCCCGAAATTCAGTTAAAAATTATTTACAGTGAACCTATATGCTGTGTAAGTAAACAATGAACACGTAGAATAGAACATAGTGTATAAAAATACTGTGAATATTGATAAGTCTACTGAATGACTAACTAAAACCCAAGAGTAGTTCCAAATCTGAAATTGAACAATAGAAAAAAGTCCAGAATATAATTAAAAACTTCACTGCAAAAATAATTTATGTATAGGAAATCGAGTGCATTTGTAGAGTTTTGTATAACCTTGGCCTTCTAAAAAACTTCTGGAAATGTAGTTTATATCATAATAATACAAGTAATTATTTAATTAAAACGTAATACATAATTCTTTATTTTTCTAGATTTTCCTGATAGGCCCCAATTCAATGTTGACTGGATAAAACGTTTATATCCGTTTTCTGGGCCTTTATAGTACTTTACTCTTCACAATAGATATATAGCAATCATTGATCAAAATCCATATGTTGAGTATATAGATGAATATTAGCACATATTAAAATCTAATTAATAGTCAAAATTTAGTAATCTAGACAAAAGTAGGATTGTAGAAAAAAAGAGGAATATACCTGCATTGTAGTTACAAATATAATCCATGATGAATCTAAAACATCACCGTGTGCATGAGCAGTTGTTAAAACAGCAGAAGCTGCTTGTAAATGTTTAATAGTAAGTAGTATATTTCCAGATGACAAAGAATCTGTATTTCCAGTGGATCCGGATACACTTTGAACATGTCCAGTAGGTGTAGTCTGATTTGATGATGAGATATTTGTAGGTGGATTAATATGAACGGTATGACCAGGACCTTGAGAAATCACTAAAGCAATTCCACTACGTTCAAATATATCATCATGATTATTTGTACCATTAAAATTAGGAGATAACTGAGATATTACTGAACAATCTAGATAAGAGTAAACCAAGAATATATATTTTTATTAATTCCAATAACTATAGGAAATCAAGAGATATTCTGAAAGGATAGTAACGAAATTAAAAATGTTTTAACCTTTCCTTCTTTCTTCGATCAACAACACTTCAAAAAAGAAATTATCACAACCAAATCCAGAGGTGATTATATAGTAAATCTTTTTTTAAAAAAAAAGTAACAACCGTTACATAATTGTGATGTGTACATTAAAAGTAGAACAAATTGATTAAAAATGAGATAATATAATATACATAATTCTTTTTATTTTTGATTGATTGATTTCAAATGGAACAATTTGTTATTAATTCAACAGTGAAATTGTATTATTGGCAAGAAATTAATTGAAGCTTAAGCATCTCATTTTAAAAAAAGAAATAAATACACAGTGAACATTTATTTATATGTAAGAGCTACCAAAACCTAAAACCACAGAATAATAAATATATTTTTGTTATATCCCAATGAATATAAAGATTGTATTCCTGACATTTCGTGACTCAATGTAAGCTACTTCTTCAGAGTAAATAAATAACCGGAATTAAATTAACATAAGTTTAAATAAGAAAGAAACAATATAATTCCTTCTGAAGAGGTAGCTTACATTAAGTCATAAAACGTCAGAAATACAATTTTTCTACTTACTAGGATGTAACAAAAATATATTTGTTATAAACTATTTTAACTAATGCTCAATTTATTTAGAACTATCAAGTCCAACCTTGGTATTGATATCTTAAAGCCAATGAATATGAATAATAAAGTTTAATTATTTAGTACAAGTTCATGTATTAACATGCGAATAAAATCAAACGTTTAAAACTCACATATAACCCATCTATTTAGTTCTTCTTAGTACGAAGGTTAATTGAATGGATACTTTGATTTTATTTGTATCTATTAGCTGATAACGGTTAGCTAGGTTGCACAAATATTCCTAATATTGATAACCCCAGTAATTGTTGTTTCAGACCCTAGTGTAATTTAATAAATAACTAAGGCATAATTCCCAAAAATTGGTTCAAAAAGTATGGAAGTAATGAATTCAATCCTGAATGTTAAGAACAGGGAGGTGAAAACACTATATTTATTAAGCAAATCAGTAATTAGTGACTTAATAGTTCAGTGTACAATGGTTTAGCTTTCAAAACGATAGGTAAATAATTTAAGTTTTAGTGGACAAACCAACAGTAGGAAACAGATACGTACATCTGACGAGTAACACATGGGACGAGATCCACGTCCTGGATTTCTATGTTAATCACTACTCATAATATGACGTTAATTCATAATTTCATATAGAAATAGTGAGTTTATTATTCAACCAAATGATAGAACATACTTTTAGAATGTGTTGCCAATAAAGAACGTCCAAATGAAGGCGGCAGTGCAGCTCTACACATGGTTAAAGAGAAAGCATCTCGAGATTCATCCAAACGTAACCTTCCACTTAATTCAATCATAATTCGCAAAGACTGAAGAAGACCTGATGTTATGTGATGATCAGCACTGTAGTCAAATGAAGCATAGATTTTAAAAAATAGCAATTAAAATAGCTAACTAATTCATCCTAAAAATACATTGCATAAGTGCCTGACTAACTATATGGACGGATAGTTTCTGGACTCTGTCAAAAGCGATCAAATTAATTCCTGACCGAATGTGTTTGTGCTTTGTCCTTGACTGTTACTGACTTTTTTAGATACAATCCACAGATTTATGTTGTTGGAACGACACATCAGCGACCAACATTGTTTACGAATAAAACTTAATATAAGTAATATTTATGTGCATGTATGAGAAATATTGAACAAATCAGTGATAAAGATTAATCGAATAAATTATATAACTAGCGATAATAAGTAGAGACTATAAACTGACAGTAAGATGACATACATATCAGTAATAGTACATCTGTTACACAGGGATTTGTCTTAATAATCTCATTTCACCGTGATAATGTATTGCAATAACTTCAACCGATCCACATTTGTCAAGTTCTGTTTTATGTATGAACAAACGACTGAATTATAAGAATAATGACAGTTTGAGTAAATATTTCAACATAGAAAGTATGTCAAAACTTAGGAAGACAAACTTATTAAGATAACAATCAATAAAAATTACTCAAAACGAAATCTGTGAATAATCTATTTAAAAATATAGCTATTGAAGAGGCACGAAATAAATAAAGGAAAAAAAGGTTTTAAAAATTAGCAAGGTCGACTATCAAGTTTTAACTTGGCCAATAAAAGATTAAGATCTCATAAATTTCTTTTGAATACAGTGAATATGGTCGTCCTCAAATCACTATAGCTTCTACTAAAAATCAGGTAAAATGTCACTAAGAATCATTTAGATTTATTTGCCACATTACCACTATTGACTAAACATGACAAAACAGAGCTACATATTAACTTTGTTCCACACCACCCAGGAAGATTTTCACTTACTCGTTGGCTAAGCTGCCTGAGAGCAACAAAAGAAACCTGGTTATATGAATCGTTTGATAGTATAGACCATTCAAATGGTATTAACTGTTAGACATCATTTTTATATTTTCATTCAAAAGTAAGAAAACTATTAAACGTAAATATTATGGTTTTTATTGTTATCTAGTTATAATAATGCCAACAGATAATTTTGATTTAAGAGAGCTTATTCCCGAAAAACTGGTAATCTTCAGTCTGAAAAATTTAGGTAAAAGAGTGTTCAGGTCAAGTTTAATTGTGTAATATATTCTTATGTATCCATCTGTATGTAAGTGGATATGAAAAAGTGAATAATTATCAGTTTCCTTAATTATTATCTGAATTATATGTCTACTTACTCGATTGACATTATAAGTCAGATACAAATTTATTCTTTTAGAGATAACGAAAAAAAATTATACATGGCTTGAAATATCTCGTTTCGTGTAGACATGATTAGTTAATTAATTAATTAATAATATTCTGAATTTCATTTTATTTATTATCCAAGCTTTTTTATTAGTTTGGCAGAGTTTCCACCATTAAAACGTAAGAGCTTATGTAACATAAACTTAAATGATACGGTTCCGATAAACTCGAAAGAAAAAAGATTCTCAACGAATATTCTTTTTTCTTTGAGATATTAATTTGATATAATTTATCATCTTTGTTTGTGAAAAATTAGAGCCTGGCTATTTGAAAATCTTATTCATATAAATGGTTGACGAGATGAGTTCCAACTGACTGACGAATGTTTATCTAGTCCTTTAATACTAATCGAATTGCAGAGTGGTCATTAGTCTAACTGAATGAACATCGCGTACACTGTCGAAATTTCAGGTGGTTGGAATTAACCGACAGGAAACTCTAGACGTATATTTCATGCAATTTGGGACTCTTAGCAAGGTGTACCTGTAATATCATGGTAACTGACGCTCCCTGGTTGACTCAATCCTGCGTCACTGAGCTTCATAGCCTGAAACGTTGTTATTGAGCGATTTGGGCAGCGATTGACTTCATTTAGATACAAAATTACGAATCCCAATATCCAATAAAACGTGCCTACACTACACTACATTTAAGTAACGAGATCTAAATAATAAAAGGGTGATGGGGCTAAATCCTATAGTGACCAAATAAGAGAAGGATCACATCAAATCAATCAGACGAATAATTTTAAAAAATAAAATGGGCAAGAATTTTTAAATTCAATTCCCCCTACCTCATAAGACAGTTGTCAAACAAAATTTACACCAAAAATACATATACGAATTGAACCACTCGTTTATATCATTGATATCATTTTTATTATAATCATCATATACACGACAAACATGTATCTACCTTTGATCTGAACAGCATGATATTAGAAGGATCAGACCTGCTTGCTTGCACTATTCGTATACATGAATGCGGACTACCGAGTAGTCAAATACTAGGATGAAACGACAGTCCAGTGCTTCAAGGATTTCAATGGTTGTCTGACTAAGATCAGTTTGTAATTCAAGAACTACGAAAAACACTATTTCTTCGCTGAAGTTGTGTGTAAATGGAGATATTTCAGTTTCTATACAGTTGTTGACTATCAGAAGATTCAAATTTTGAGACGTCAGAAATTCAATTCCTTACTCATCGGAATATTATAGATACATCATTACTTTATAATTACAAAAGTCGCATTATTTCGATATATTATAAAATATTAACAACTATCTTATGATCGGCATTAAAAAATTTGAGATTGTGAACCGGTTACTTCTACTTTGAACAAATGTCTTTTGTCCAGTCGCCTTCCCTAGTTATTTCGTGACATTTCATTCACTGAATTATTCTTAAGAATAGAAATTATTTTAAAAACATTAATATATAATATTTAATTTCACAACTTGATATACGTTACTTTATGAGCCTTCTTAAAGTAAGTCTTTGTTAATCCTTTACATGTATTCTTTTTCTAATAATTCTAATAACGCAAGGATATATTTTTGTAACTTGCCCTGAATATTTTTCAAAAATTTAGGTTCTATACACTATTTCAAACATTTTTTCTTCAATATCTTAAACAATGGCTAACACTTCAAATTTCGTCACTAAACTATTCAGTTATGGTCACTATACAAAATAGAAATTTGGTTCTTTTAAGTTGAAACTTTAATTTATATTTCGTTTTTAAATCTCTTATATGCATGCGACATTAATCGTTTTGATTATTAATGAGCTGTAAACTATTTTTTTCACTAGTAGATAGCTTTATTATTGAATTCATATTACAGTAAGTTCTCTTTTTTGAGGATTTCTATGGATCTATTTTCATCAGTTAACTGAATATTAACAAGATCATACCTTCAGGTCTTAAAGGTTTTTTACTTGTGCCACTGTTAATACTAATATTATAAATTAGTAGGATTATGATATTAAAGGGAGCGAATTCTTTTTCTAACTAGAAGATTTAAAAATCTCATGCGGCTCTGAAGTGAAAAATAGTTCCATTGAAGGATCTCTTCAAACAATATGGCCTGAAATACAACAATTTTCGATATTTATAACTAAGCATTCATTAAGGACCTTTGACGTTTTCTGCATAAAATGACGTGGTTGTTTATAACATGCAACTATCTATTGGTGATTTGAAATTTAAAATCTGGAAACCAAATTTTTGAACTACTGAGTCATTTGGTACACAATTAATTTGTATGACAAGTCGATTAGGGTAGAACTGATATGAAGATTCACTACGTAATCAGAACCAGATGACTAAAATTCTTTAGGCGATATATATATATATATACTTACCTTGATTCAAGTAATAAGCTGAGTGTAGATAATATACTGCACCATGAATTAGATACAATTTGTTTGCTAAACACAATATCATATTTTTTTGAAGTATTATCCTCATCGTTATTATTAATGACATCATCACCATGATTAACAGTTTCAGGAACATTAGCATTGATGATGACCTTTAATGAGTCCACTGTTTTACGTAGACATATTAAAGCCAGTGATAGACAATAACCATCAGGTAAAATTGGTGGTTCATTGCGATCAAGCATCTCAAGACTAAAGAATAATCGAATATAAAAACAAGAAACAATGAATCTAAGTGAATGAAAATGCAACTTAAATACAGAAACAAGTAAAAGGATAACATAAGTAACATAGATATTTTTAAGTCATCTTTGCATTATTTAAAACATAAACGCCGATCCAATAGTCCAAGGGTTAAGTGCTCGTCACCACACCTGAATGTCCTGAATATGATAGTGGTAGGGTCGTGGGTCCTCGCTTCTGAGAGGTCACATACTGAGATGAGATTCGGCAATGCTTCCCAGTTTTATGCAGTTGTTTGGCTAAAATTAGTTTGTAACACACTGTAAAGCACAGATAGAAGCTCGTTACAGTAGATTCGAAGAATGGACTGTCAGAAGCGAAATGAGGCTATCGAAAGGGGAGTTACACAAAAGCTCCAATGGTTATCAATGGAAGATTTTCAAATGAATGAATAACGTATTATTATCTCAATATAAAACGGTAACCATAAGCTATTCCGGGATGTGACAGCATCTAGTTTATTAGCTTATACAGGTCAGCACAACGTGCTCATATATACAGAACTTATTTGTCTCCCTGTTTTAAAAGGAAATATAAACCGAAAAATTAATAACAATCATAATAATAACCATTATTATTATAGATAGTAATACAGACTTACAGTATTCCTTTTGATTGTATGTTGATTGGAAAATAACTCCCTTTATAATACAACATAGATTGATTGATACCTCCAACATGAACTGTTTGATTCGGTGTTTGATTAGCGTTATCTTTAGCTATTAAAATGTAATTAATTAAGAGGACATGGAAAAATATAAACCACAACTACGTTTGCAACGTTAAAAAACGAAAGTGAATAGTATTTTAAAATTAAAATAAGATCTAAAATAATTATGTATAGGATGGTAAATAAGACGCGTCGATAGACATAACAATATATAAGAGATAATAATATCAATTGTCCATATGAATGACACATGAAGAAATCCAAGTCATTCCTAACAATGTTTATCAAATGAAACGTTTAGTAACTAATTTATTTATTTAGAAGAAATTCAATCAACAGGTTTAAACCCAACAAATAATAAACGGAAATAATCAAACGAGGATTTACGTTATGAATTAGTCTAACAATTTTTAATCAGCTTCGTCATAAATGATAAAATTTATGAATAAAGACAGTGGATCAAAACGTAATACAATTTGTAAATGAATGATTTACAAATTTATAAATCCAGTTAATCAGCTTTCCCGAAAACGGGTGACAGCACTACAAAGGTTCAATACAGCTTCCAATATAAATACTGACAAACTCAATAAATTCAAGATAACTCTCAACAATAGGTTCCAAGCCTTACAGGATCTACTCAAAGAAGAAGAAACTACTATGGAGGTTAGTTGGAAGGAGATCAAAGAAGCATTAACTTCAACGTGTCAAGAGGTGCTGGTCAGAAACAATTATCATCATAAGGGATGGATCTCTATCGGAACCCTGAGGAGGATTCAAGAAAGGAAGAACAATAAGACAGCAATTAACAACAATTGAACATGATCAGAGAAAATCAATACGCAAGCTGATTACATAGAAGCAAACAAACAAGGAAAGAGAAGCAATAAAGCTGACAAGCGGAAATATGTGGAAGAGCAAAAAGCTGCAACAGAAGGAAATATGAAACAATTATACGACAAGACGAGGAAACTGGCAGGGAAATATAATAAACCAGGAAAGTCAGTCAAGCACAGAGAAAGCAAGCAAGTCACTGAGATTCAAGGACGGATGCTCAGTTGGGTAGAATACTTCGATCGAAGGATTTAAGATGGCCATCAGACAAATTAAGAGTGGGAAAGTAGCAGCACCTGACAACATACCACCTGAAGCGCTGAAGTCAGAAATAGAATCAAGTGCAAACATGATCCACATTCTATCCTGTAAGATTTGGAATGAGTAAAAGGTGCGACAAACTGAAAAGAATGACTAATCATCAAGATACCAAAGAAATATACCAATGAAAGATTCCGTAGACACCTAACTTCGAGATCAACAGACCAGGCTCCGTAAGGACCTGTTGTGCACAGACAAAATCGCCACATTACGGATCATCGTTGAACAATCAATTGGATGGAACTTGTCATTATACATCGACTTTCATTGCAATGAGAATCTGATGCAGACGTAATGGCGAAGATTGGCAAAACAACATACGGATGTCAAAATAACTGTCAACCACTATCAAAGTGAGAATTTTCAGTACGAACATCAAGACAGTTCTACTGTACAGAGCTGAAACGAGGAGAACTACTACAACCATCATCAAAAATGTACAAGTATTTCTAAACAGTTGTCTACGCAAGAAACTGAATGCGCGTTAGCCGGATACCATTTGTAACAGCCTACTGTGGAAGGAAACATATCAGCTTCCAACTGAATAGGGAATTAGGAAAAGAAGCTAGAGGTAGATAGGAAATATATTTCGGAAATCATCAAATTGCATCACAAGGCAAGTGCTAAATTGGAAACCTGAAGGGAAACGGAAAAGAAGAAGGCCAAAGAATACACTGTGTTGAGAATTGGAAGCAGACATCAACAGGATGAATAGCAACTGAAAAGGATAGAGAATGTTAGTGAGCAGTCTATGCTCCTCCACGAGGGGTAACAGGAGTCAGTAAGGAAGTACAAATTTATTAAAGCTGATAACCGAGCAAAGTGACTACGAAAGTAAAAGACAACAATATGGTATTGTATAGAAGGTGTCCTTGTTGGCAATATAGAAACTGTACAGAAATATTTGAGAGGACAGCTTAAATAAGTAGTTTCTGTTGTTTGACATATATGTAGTTAAGATGGGACGTTTACTCCATGTAGTCGATAGAAATGTCTTATGAATCTTGCTTTATTTCTTATAATGTAAATTCTTAAGGAGAATCAGGCATCGATCAACAACTCATGTTGCTGATTTATATCTTTCCCCTTATTGATTGACATATCTCCTAATATGTTAATCCGTTCACTGTCATCTTAAAAAAATCAATGTAATAGGAATCAAGACAAGCTTTCGCGTACTCTCTAACAGATATCAACCCAATGTTTATGAGAAAAAATTGAAATTAATAATGTTGCTCTAATTCGATGTGTCACTGTTTCTGAAAATATAACGCTGTACAAAATAATTCATGCTTTAGATATCGATTTGAGTAGTTCCATATAAAATTCTTTTCACAAACTTATTTGTTATGTTAGTAGAAAAATACGATCGAACTTCACATCCACTGAGGAGAGGGAAAGTTTCCATGATTATGAGGGAACAATTTATAACATAGTTAAAAAATAACACTTCCACTAAGATTTTTACCCTTAGACATTTTCTGAATAGATGGAAAAAACAGTCAACTCTAGGAAGCTAGAAAAAGACTAAGCATTATAGAATGAGTATCATTGGTATGCAATAACTAACAATGACACCAATTGACGACCTTCATTTCTACTATGATATGGTGTACTTCAATGTTTCAAAAACGACATTTCTGACTACTTACATTTAATAAGTAAGTAGAGAAGAAATAGAAAAAACTTTGTGGGAGATATAAAACGAGGAATCTGCAACCAACTAATTACTTCGTTCATATACAAAAACCGAAAGATACTACTTAAACAAACATTCTAAACAATTACTAGTATGGTCAAAATTCCTTTGGAAATTTACAGCCGATAATCAGCTGAAATGGGAAACAGTCGCCAAAGCTTCAAAATAAGCCCTTTTAAGTGGCATCACACCTATAACGGTATGAAGTGTGACAACTTAGCTCAGTGAATGTTTGTCAGTTCACTGTTGTTTACGAGAGCGACTGATGCGAATTCCTTAAAGAAACTGGTGGACGGATAGACTAAGACACGGAACTTATATGAGACGGTTTAGATTTGATGGTTTGATTTAGATACAGAACTTTAAATTTAATCAATACATTTAGCAAGATAACAGAAATGAACCTATTTTTCACAGATTTTAAAAATTCTCGGTCGAATAAATGCATCACCTAATCTGAAATCTTCAAAATACTGTTATTTTATACTGCTTATTTTAAATCCCAATTTTTTTTACATTTCAACAACACAACTTCAACTCTTAGGATATCTTCATTTCCCTATGAAACGATTACACTTAACTGACTTAGAACGGTACCATAAGATCGTTGACAGGGAATATTGATAACAAAAAGATCTTCCCTACTTATTCACACTAATAAACTGAAAATTCCATCCAAATGATCATTGAAACAACTCCGGCCAACAATGTCAGGTAGGAGTGAATTCCTTCAAACATGAAACGAACCTTATGATAGTAACATTCATTTTACTATCGATGAATAGACACTCAAAATTTCATACTTTTTTCTTGATACAGCCTGAAACATGAACATTACTGACAGGAATTTCGAATTATACCATGACATAAATCAACGTAATTAAAACTAAATATGAATACTGAGCAACAAACAAAGCCATAAACTTTTGATATAAAAATACATTGAAAAGGAAAATACTTACATAATTCATCACCTGGACATGGATTAGCTAAAGATGTTTGTATGTACTGTCCGAAAGCATTTAAAAGCTCATGAAATATTTTTGTTGCATGCTGTCTCATATCGTATGAAATACAAATATGCCTAAAAAATAGAAAAATTGAGAAGCGAAACAATAAATGATGCCATAGTTTGCTCACATTGTAACGTAAACGAGTCTGTTAGAAATTGGAAATGACATCACATGTTGTATTCTAATTGCAAGAGTTTGCCTCTATACTTTCTTTTAAAGTGAACGAAAGAATGCTTGAGGTACACTTCTATAAATTGGGAATTCGGGTACTGAAAAGAATCCATGTAAGGAAAGAAGTTCTGTTATATTGGTTGATCACATATATTATTATGTATACCATCTTATTTAATCCTCACTGTTCATTGAATACTTTCGATCAAGTTTACACGATTCAAAACAGCATGTACTATGTACTGGTATTAGGTGATCAAAGGTAAGCGACAGAGAGCCACTGACCTACGTTTCGTGTTAGACAGCGCTCGTTAACAAGGTGTATCAGTAATCCTTAGAAAACGAATATTCTCTGAAGGATTCAAATACATTCTACCCAATGTAGTAATATTATGCACTGTCGAGTTTTTTAGACAGACAACTACATTTTAACTTGGTCGATAATAATTCGATCACCAATAAAAACCAGGTTGAACGTTGGTTACGACTCAGTGATCAACTCTACATTAGATAACTCTTAATGTAAATAACTTAGCGTTGAGGTAGTTACTACAACACAAGGAACACCAGTTACCGCGTGTTTGAGGATACGACGAATGCCAGTGAACAGAGCCTAAGCTAGGAACTTACTTCCGATACCTTTAAATCCTTTAACATTAAAACGAAATATAAAGCATCTTGATCAATATTATCTTTATAAACTTATTCATAATATAATTCCAGTACCTACGCCCGACCGTAGCTGCTACCTTGACATGGTGGTCGGGCTTGCCTATCGTGATGACCCAACCGAGCTATATTGTCTGGAACACATGTTCCTGCAGGTTCTGCCATGCCAGGCAGGTCGATTGGAGAACGGTAAGACTAAAAGCAGTAACTCAAGGTCTGAGGGCGAAGTCGTACTGCTGACTGTACAGAGGTGTGACAGAAGTAAGGTGTTTCCCTCGAACAACCAGCATCTACAGTGATGCTGCCTTCTCACAAGGAAGGAAGGGGCTAGAAAAGGTCGACCCTAAAATGTCACACTTCACCCTACCCCACGGATTTCCGTCTCCGGCGGTAAGGCCCTTTGAAGAACGGAGCTAACACATTTAAAACCTCCCACGAAAAGGCCGTGCGCGACCGGCCTCAAGCAGTTTTCCCTTGTGCTCTGCGGTCACGCACCCAGGTCTTTAAGACCAACACTAATACAATTTCCTTTTCAGATCCCTCAAGAAATATCCTTCCACGGTGTGGGCAGCCGGGAAGTGACATCAGCCCTCATACCCGTAACAGCATACGAGACCAAGTTGGTCACATTCAAATCCTTCCTACACCTCTTAATGACTCTCTTATCTCTACGACCAACCCTTATCACGTCCCTTTATCACCTCGCCCCGCTAGTGCAAACGATTCGAGCACGCGGAACGTTATCCCTGATCTCCTGAAACCACGCTCTAAACTACACGTAGGAGCCTTCAACGTCCGAACACTGTGCCAAATAGGACAACAGGCTTCCTTAGCTAGGACTTTAGAATCTCGCTCCATCGATGTGTGCTGCGACTCCGAAACGCGCACACAGGATCCTAGTAGTGTCATTCATTTGACCTCACCATGTCAAAGTTACGAACCAACTCGATTTACTCTCCGTGTATCTGGAAGCCCTGATGCTGCTTCCCGTGGCCTCGCTGGCGTAGGTATAACATTGAGTCCTAAGGCGGAACTAGCTCTCTTAGACTGGACCCCAGTAGACAGTCGTTTGTGTGCTGTCCGACTAAACGGAACAGTAAGGACTCGGAAAGATAGGGACACTCGTCGTTGCCTCTTCGTCGTCCCTGCCTACTCTCCCACTGACTGCAGCTCAGATGATGTAAAAGATGAGTTTTACAGAAAGGTTTTCGACCTTCTACGAAAAACTAGGCTTTCAAATGTAGTAATCGTGGCTGGTGACTTTAATGCTCAATTAGGTAAACTAAGCGAAAAGGAAAGACACGTGGGTGGATCTTGTGGTGTCGCGGCTCAAAGAACAGATAATGGCGACCGTCTGTTGCAGCTATGCTCAGATAACCGCCTGTTTCTTGCAAACACTAACTTTAAGCATAATGGAAAACATCTTTTGACATGGCGACCTCCTAATTCGTCCCAACGCTGGACCCAAATAGATCACATCGCTATCAGCCACCGATGGAGGGGCTCAATAGAAGACTGTCGCTCATTCTGGAACACATGCTTAGACTCAGATCATGCTCTGGTGCGAGCGCGTATTTGTCCAAGTCTTACTAGACGTAGGAAAGACGCTGCAAGGAAACCCCTTAGGGTCCTACTTAATGATAGTCAAGCTAAGAGTATATTTCAGGAACAACAACCCCGAGGCAGCGTGGAATGACATCCGAAAAGCTGCAGAAACAGCAGTGATCTCTGCAAGTAGGGTAAATCATAAGGTTAGGGAGAAACACTGGATCTCAGCAGCATCTACCGCACTGATAGATGCTCGGAAACTCATTCCATCTGGCTCTGAACATAACGAAGAGCAGAGTCAGCTTAAGCGTAAGCTGACTAGAAGCTTACACAATGATCGTGAACAGTGGTGGGTAGCGAAATCAAGAGAGATGGAAAAGGTAGCGGCAATAGGTAACAGTAGGCAACTGTTCAGAATTGTTAAGGAAACCGGTATTAGGAACCCAACTGTTAGCGAAACTATCTCCGAAAATGATGGACATATTATTCATTCTCAATCCAGGAGATTGGATCGATGGGCAGAACACTTTAGGGATCAGTTCAACTGGCCTTCAGCCACACTTCGGTTTCCCACGATCTCCAAGTAACCTGAATGGAAAATTAACGTAAGTCCTCCAACTCTTTACGAAGTTGAAAAAGCTATAGGAAATCTGAAGCGTGGGAGAGCAGCAGGCCCTGACAGGTTTACCCCTGATATTTTTAAGGATGGCGGTCCAATATTAGCAGCGAGATTGACTGAGGTCTTAGGTAGAATCTGGGAACTGGACGTAATCCCATCTGACTGGTCTCAATCACTGATTGTGCCAGTCTATAAGAAAGGCCAAAAGTCCTCTTGTGACAATCACAGAGGAATTAGTTTGACTAATATAGTGTCTAAAATATTAGCTTCAATAATACTTCGACGTCTAACCAAAGCTCGTGAAGAGCAGACTAGAGAAAACCAGGCTGGTTTTCGACCTGGACGTGGTTGTATAGATCAAATATTCACACTACGTCAGATCCTAGAACATAGACACACATTCAGACGCCCCACAATGATAGTATTTCTCGACCTTAAGGCGGCATTTGACTCTGTTGAGCGTGAGATTCTATGGCAGTGTTTGTCACTGAAAGGAGTACCAAAGAAGTACATCAACCTTATAAAGGCTCTCTACTCGAAATAACACTTTCCTCATCTAAATTTATAGGAGTTGTACTTTTACCGGGAGATTCACTTATTGACTTAGAATATGCCGATGACATAGTTCTATTTGCTGAGGACGCTGACAAAATGCAGAGTCTGCTGACCACTCTAAGCAACAATGCAGGCATGTTCGGCATGCGATTTCCTCCCTCGAAATGCAAAATGTTGCTTCAGGATTGGGTCACACCACCACCCGAACTAGTGATAGGGAGTGAAGTAGTTGAGCGTGTCGACCGCTTCACTTATCTTGGAAGTCTCATCAGCCCTTGTGGTCTGGTGTGTGACGAAATCTCAGCACGGATACAGAAGGGTCGACTAGCTTTTGCCAACTTGCGTCATTTGTGGCGTAGGCGAGATATCCGTCTATCAACCAAAGGACGTGTTTACTGCGCAGCAGTTCGTTCCGTCCTACTTTATGGCAGTGAAACATGGTCGGTAAGAGTAGAGGATATTCGTAGGTTGCTAGTATTTGATCATAGGTGTCTTCGAAACATTGCTCGCATATCCTGGGACCACCAAGTAAGTCATGTAGTTATTAGGAAATGGGTACTAGGTAAGGATGGCAAATCAATTAATGAAGTAGTGAAACTTAATCAGTTGAGATGGCTGGGACATGTGTTGCGCATGCCCGACCACCGACTGCCCCGACGTGCTATGTTTTCTGGTGTAGGAGTAGGTTGGAAGAAAGGTAGGTGCGGCCAGACCAAAACATGGCACAAATCCATGAAGTCACTGACAAGTGGACTGAGTCATGTTGGTAGATGTAGACTACCTGGTTGGGGACCGCGAGATGATAGCAACCGATGGTTAGAGACGTTGAATGGCATGGCTCAAAATCGTTTGCAGTGGCGCAGGTGCATTCACTCTCTGTGTTCTCTCAAACTCTAATCTTCTGAATTCTCCGTGTCCTTTATTTTCTTTCCAAATCTATTCCACTGGACTATACTCCTTAAATAACATCATCAAACCTTAACGTTCCCTGTCACTACTTATACTTTCGCTACTCTGCCACTACGGGATTTGAATCGATAATTGAATCTCTGTGCTAATGTGGTATGGCAACTCGAACTGATGTACGTACGTACCAAGTTCCACGTTGTTTCTGACTGACTCCAGTACCTACGAGATACCAAGTTAATAGTACTTGACCTTGGTATATTTATCAGTACAAGTGAAAAATATTTCGCGAAACACTTCACCAAAGTTCATATTTATTTAAAAATACGCCGTAAAAGCATGAGATTGAAGATAAACACTTGTCTTTATTCGATGCTCTCTACTTAGTATAAATTTTAATCAGATTTGTAACTGTAAAGCAAATTGTCAAAACAAAATAAAAAAAATAGTATGTCACAAAATGATGCCAACGGTTAGTTAGCCACAATACTAAAAGTTTCAACTATTCAAAATGTAGTGAAATAATCGATAAGTTGTATACTAATAACTATTTTCAATAAATTGGTTTACTCAATATTTATCAAGAGGCAATAACTGTGCTTAAATGCTGAATATGAGCAATTGTGATAGCAGATGATTACTAATCTCTATACAAAGGTGTTATTACAGTACTCAAGATTTCAGAACCATATAAGTCTTATGTGAAATGTTTATTAACATCGCAAAAATACAGTACAAATCAGGCATGTTTAATTACATGTAAATCGAAGAATGTATAATTACAGATCCATCAACAAATTAACGGTTTCGAGATTTGATTTTAGAACTGTTAAAGTGAATAAGAAATAGTTAGCCTGTGCGGTTTAATTATAAACACTAGTTTAGTTTGAAGTTAAAGACACTCTACAGACGGACGTACAAGCGTCATGGCCGATTTAGAGGATTTTGTCAATCTTCTTTCTTGTCAATCGAATTCACAGCTACCATACCCTCAAAATATTCTCAAGAAAATGTGGTAAAAAGAGATTTGAGGAAAGGAATTCGAAATAGTAATTAATTTTGTACTCTCAGACAAATTTTTCGACTGGTTACAGACAAACTGGAAAAAACTCAATGAACTGTCAAGTCACATGTATGGGATGATAATCGAGGACCCCAACTACTGAGTACAATTACAATGTAAAAGTCCATCATTTCTTTAAGTTAAAAATGATTCAATTGATGGGACGAATGGAGTTTATTCTTACGATATGAAAAGCATTATTTACAGTAAATATTCCAAAGATTTACTGTGTGCGGAAGTGAAGAAACAATTGATTAAAGATTATTACGGCGCGAAAGATACATAACAAACGACGATAATTTAAGCAATAAAAATAAACATCTTACTACAAATAACTTACTATGAAATGATAATACTTGAAGTAATCCCATTTACATGTTTGTAACTAAATCCGCTGATACAGCCGAGAGTGAGGAGAGTCCGTCCTCCACCCCCTCATGAGGTAATGCGTACAAAGCCACTTCAGGGAAGTCCTACTCAATGCCTTCTCGTGGTAGAGGTGTTGTTTACGAAATTGAAAGGACGAAAAGCAAATGTCCGGCACTTAAAGCGGCCTAGTGAGTACGGAGGATCCACCTGAGGGAGTTGGAAAACCCTGGCTCCAAACCGATGATGAACATGAGATCGAGGATTCTGAGGGGACAAATGGGGTATGAATCTATTATTGGCCACCGGTTTACCTGCGGTGGAATCTTCCAAAATTGCTCCATTGCCTTGCGGATTAGACTTCTAAGTCGAAGTCTCAGGATGTGACCCTCTATTTAAACCATCTGCTTTGATCTGGGCGCTCAGGGAGTATTTCGAATTACACAAAATTCAATTATTTGTGTGGTGCTCCTTTGTACAAATAATCATGTGTTTAAATAAATAGATAAATAATCCTATTCATTTACGGCCAGTTACAAGTAATTTCAGTAACTCTTTTGATTTACCAATGAACGGTACACTCCTTAAATAAATCCTCCCTCGTTCATAATCACTTTGACTGTGGTAGTCATATCCAAAAATGTTAATCTTCTGAAAAAAGACGATTTCCTGATTGATAAATCAAAAACATATTTTTCATTTTTGATTTAATGTTTACCTTATCAAATATATTAACCTTACAGATCTATGAAATAAGATGGTTATTCAGTTTAAAATTATACACTAAAAATAAAAATAGGCATGTCACAGTATAATCAAGTAGTTTGAATCTTACTTAACTAGTTCAGGTTGTTCCACAATTCTAAATAGAACTTCTAATGCCAACGCACGTTGCCATAATAGCTTATTCACATCCAAAAATCGTATGAGCAACGAGAGATAGATTTCACATTCTGTATTCTGAATATTTTTGTAAAAAAAGATTATGAACAGGACAAAAAGTAGTTTTCTTTAATGTTAAAAATTTGACTATTCAAACAGAAATAATTGAAATACCAATTAAAATATCGACAAAAAGAAAGTATTATGGTATTTTTTTCTAAAAAGGTTATAAAATATGTTTCTTCCGTTGCATAAAATGACTTCCCAATGATGGTTAAAGTGTAATTAGTTTGGAAAAATATTAGAGAGTACGTGATACCATTTGATTATACAGACTAATACTCCTAACTTTAAATATTTTAGATAATAAACATATACAATTTGCAATCTATTTATCTGGGAACTAATCAAAATAAAAGTTCAATCCTGAACATAGCATTCCTTCAAGAAATCAAATGAGACTAAACTAGGCTAATAACTATTGTAAAAATACAACTATTTATTTATAATGCCTTTGGAAGTATGTTGTGGAAATGTCATATTACAGCATCTGTAAACACATTATCAACGATGGAAAAGAATCAACACATAATCGTGAAACATAAAAATCGAAGTAGTGAATATGATAAACATATTATGTGGATCAAATCATCCTCAAGAGGACGGATAGATCAAAATATAAAAGTAATGCAAGTTATAAATGGCTGTTTGTTTGAATTACGATCATCTGGATGACAGAAATTAATGGCCCCATGTAATAGGTTACATGAATCACAAAAAATTGCATTTGTGAGGATGAATTAACTCTTATTCTTTTTATAAAGTTGAACACTATTACTTAGACTACCTTTAGTTATAACTGATCTTTCTATAGTAAAAAATAGGTTTAGTGGATAAATAACTATAGACTATGAAGGAGTATACAGTTCTACCTTGCTCTTTCCTCGTGATACTTAAACAATCAACCTCAACGAGAACGGATATAGATATGGGGGAGTCCAAAGTCAGTCAATTACCAACGAAGAACTTGGCATAAATGTGTGTTAGCTCAAGCTGGGATACCACATTGGCAAGAAAAGATTAAAATAGCGAGCTTAACAGAGAAAGAGAACGAAACAATGTAGTAGTAATGATAATGAGAACGACTCAATGATGAGAATAGGACTCGAAAAAATATATCGGAAAGGTAGGTATGAAGGAATGCTTATATTCATGATCTAAAGGAAGATGAATACTTAATGCATCTGAGCCATTGTGAATAATTCTAAATTATGTCCATCAACGTCTTCCAAACTCTGTACTGACTAATATAACTCAGATCAAAACAATCGAGTTTCTTGGTTAGGTGCACATTGCACTTTCTGCGTCGAAAAAATTATTATCCAACTCCCAAACGAGACAACAAGAATATTATGACACGATATTCTTGTTGTTCCGTTTGTACGACTTAAACAAGGATTAATTTTGATTTAGCTATTTACTTATTCTCTGAATAAGTGGTTTACACTAAGTCGCGAAACGTCAAAAAATCTAATTGTTCCACTCATTGGGATATTAAAAATGTATTATTTATTTATAGTCACTAAAAAGGTTGAGTGAAGCGAGAAAAATAACAATACTTTGATTCTTTACGAATATCTCAGAAACATTAAAACCACTCACCATCAGGAACAGCAATAGAAGACATCATTCAATATCAAACAGGAATTAAGTGTAGAAGGCTTTAAAAACCGATTTGTGATGCAAGTTAGCACGATATTCAAAAGTATTTTAGCCGAAAACTTTAAACTTGAAGTGCAATCTCACTCATACTTGAAGCCGTTTACAACTGAAGTTATTGAATCATATACATATTCATTTCGTCAAAAAGTTGAATTTAACCCAACTTACCAAAAGATGGAAGTAATGATTGACGATGACAATGACCAAGCGTTTCAAACGAACAAACAATGCGAAATTCGGTTTTTCACTATTCATCACGTCATTTGAAACACCAGACGATGATAGTGATGACAACGACGATGCTACTCCACTGACACTAGTTAATGCAGCCGTTGCAGCAGCGAACGCAGCTGAGGCAACATCTGTTATCCCCCCACCACCAGATGTAGCCAATGGAGTTAAGTGTAATTTTAAACTTGGAGAAAATAATTTTATCACTAGCGGGCATAAATTCGTTTTCAGTAAATACGCAAAAGCAGGATGCTGTGTTGGAATGTAAAAAGAGCAGGTTTCATTGGTTAAATACCATATACAATTATGTAGTAGACAACTGATAACGATCAAACAAACGCTAAAAACTACAACGTAATAGGCAATTATTTCTTCCTAACTCCAGCGCACCTTCATAGTTTACGACCAGTATACACTACACTTATTTTAACATCTATTAGTAAAATACTCGCCTCTTAATGAAATCCCTACACTAACAACCAAATTAGAACTTTTGTTACTCTTAGTCCTCATCTTTATACTCAAAAACGCTGCACAGCACATGATACATCAGTTGAACTAGTTTGATAACAAAGAAGTTGAGATGTAGTACAGTTGAAGCCAGTCAATCAGACAAAATTTGTGTAGTGGTGATGTGAAACCTGATGCACTTGAGGATATTCAAAAAAGTCATTACTCATCCGACAACAGTATGTTAATAATTCATAATGAGTTGCTGAAGAAACACTTCTACAGTAACCTTGTCTCAGTTGAGAATTTAGTTTTCGTGAAGATAACCAGCCATCAATAATTTCAATTTCATCACCTCATCATAAATTGATATTGTCAGGAGGATATAGATTGAATTATATCATGTCCCGTTCAGGAGTGTGTTGGGGCATGCTGACTGGCTACTCCTCAACCAATTAGCGGTAGCGATACTTGGAGAAGACTCTAGAATACTAACGTTTTCCTGATTGTGATCCATCCTTTCATTCAACCGTGTTTATTTGGAATATAATTACGCTCCTGTTCAACCGTGTTCTGATTTGGGGACTTGTCTAGTGAAGTAGCGTCCGAGATTACTAATCAATAAGAGTAACTGGGTCGTAAGAAGAGAACTTATAACAGATATGCCCTACGTTTTTCTTCAGGCTCACAACATGAACGAATCTTATATCTATAAAAATAATACTCATGCTTGACTTTTATTTTCAAAAATACTATTACTGTGCATATTATTGAAATGACCTGCGGGAACATGATTTTTCTATGCATGTATGCGTTGTTCATAAGAATTAAAAATAGTCTCATTCGCATGCCGAAGTCAGACAAAGTTGTGATTAGAGTTGGTTTTTAAATGTACCTTTCAATTATGGTGGAAGCCAGCAAAAAGCATAGTTACTAACACAGCCAAATTAAAACTCACCTGACAAAATAAACTAGGATAGGAAAAGATAAGCGATTCAACTAGCTCCAAACCCAGGACTTTATTTATCTGTATTGTGCCACATAACCAAATACATGTATCGTCACTTATCAGTAAGCAAATATCCTACAGAAAAGTTAACAGAATGGTAACAAACTACTAATGAATTAATATGTACCGAAATAAGTGAACACTCATTGAACTCATATCAATTACCAATATATATTGCAAGGTAAAAACAATTTACTTGAAAACACATCTCTTTTGTATATTAGCAAGTAACGTTTGTTTACATGAAACAACCATTAGATTCCAACTAAATCTATTTATCTAAATTTTCAGTGTCAGTCGAAATTCAACAACTTAGGGTTATGATGTAACCACCAGGTTTAGAAAGAATGCCATATTTCAATACTCTACATTGTAAAATTTATAACCAAAGTACAAAGCTCATCTTTCACTATTATTAGCATAGAGTTTAATAACAACTGACGGTACAACTCACAGATAACTACCAATAAACAATGAATTTCAGGCTGTGTGCTACCGGGATTCAAACTCTTAAGTTTTCCTATGTTTAGTTACTGCCACAAGTGCTAAAGATTTTCTAAAAACAAGTCCACCGAATTATGAATTAAACTCCAGATCATCTACAGATAATTTGTACATGTAAAGGACAGTAAGTAAATTATAGTCAATATCATCCCAATATAACATCCACAGAAATATATCAAACGTGTACAGTAAAACAGCAAACAACATACAACTTAAATAAACTAACTGTGATATATGCATCAGACAAAACTTTGAAAGTGTTAGGCGTTAACTACAAACGATCGAGATTGGAACTGCCTACCTGGAAAAGCATATAGGCATCCCTTTCAGAGTACTTCAAGTCCAGAGGGTTAACAGGGAGAATATCGTCGACTCCAGCTAAAATTAAAAAGTGTAAAACATGATACAGAAGATTACTAGAGCCCGATATTAAACACTATCAACGAAGTGGAAGTTAAACTGATACCTGTATAAGAAACGAACTAAAGAAACAATTCATTTTCACTGGGAAACGCTAATGCAATTTCGAGATCAAATTAGAGGAAGTATCTGATAGAACGCAGTAAATCCGCTGATAATTTTTTTGAGTAATGATTTTTGTAACACTAATAACTATGGGCCCGAAAATCACAATTTTCTGGCTAATTGGAGAAGATTAAACTTACGTGTAGCTTTTTGTTTACTTGAATCTGTAGGTTGTATGATCAACTCTTCCTTAAATACACGGTCAAAAATAGCACTTGCACATTGGCGAACAGCTGCTGCTGCTGTGTTTACAGTGGCAGGTGACTTCGAAAGATGAAGTTTCAAACATATGGTGAAGGCCTAAGAGAAAAATAAGGAGACTGTTTTAGAATCCAAGCATAGAAATAACACATAATGGTTTAGGGACTTATTTTCAAAGCATGTCCAGGAATTCAAACTGCGCTGACTTATTTAAATTTGACTGAGCACATCAGATCTTCCTTATAGCTTAGTGAATTGAAATTGGCAAAATTACAGAGTAATATTAAGTGCCAGTTAACAAACTAATTTTGTAGCAAGTGCTTATAGGTAGAACGTCTTACTTGTTGCTATCCTAACTGACTCGATCAAAGTGATTTCTGTGAACCAAATTATTTCAGGATACCTTAAGGATGGAATAGTGAGAACAGTAACTAGATGAAAATACATAGTAACACCATAAGTAAATTATACTTTACAACACAAGAATTAAATGGTTCTATCTGATCGCTGATCACTTAGAATCTGAAGTCAGTGACTTCTACACTCATGTCTCATTTGTATGATCAACAGATCTATCAATATGTAGGCACTAATGTCACAAACCTATGCCACTTTTAAATTAGGACATATTTCTGCTGTTTAGACAAGTGAATAGGTCAGTGGTAATGGTGAGTGGGAAAGCTCAAAACCGATAAAACCCTGATATTGACATGACACTATAGACTATTCATTTATCAACATTCCTGCGCTTATTAGAGGGAAATAAAAAATAACCAGTTTCTAATTATCATGAACAATAATTATATCAGTTTCTTAGCTATGGTTATTAATGGCAAGAGTAACAAAAGCAGTGTCCGCGAACCATTAATACATTCACTGAGTAGGTTTTCATTTAGTTGCAAAGTAAGTCAGAAAGCCATAAGAACACAAATACGGGACTGTTAAAAACATGTAAATATATTACCTTGAACTCCATTTACAATTTACAAAAACACTAACACATCTAATTGGGTTATCAAAACCTAGCGTCCATTAAAGTATATTTCGAAAATATAAAAAACCAAGATTAAAGACGTAGGATTTACTTTCGCAAGTTGAGGTCCGCGTATCAAGGATGAGCTAGTGAGAAGCAATATGGTCGTTTGGAGTAAGCGTAATTCCTCTATATTCGACTCCGCAAGCTGCCAAAGTGTACTAACGATAGCTTCAGAGGCATCCTGAACAGGTTAAAGACAACAAATAATTTACCTCTGATAAACATCTCTGATTGATGAAACGCTGAAGTGCCGTTAGACACAACACTATTATCTTCTGGTTTTTCGAAAGGCAACCATTTAAAAATGGAGAGATTAAAGAACTGCACGTTCCTTGTAAGGCTATACTATGCTTTAGCAAATAAAGTAATTACCAACCTTCTCGTAGTTCAGTGTCACTGTTTATGATAGCTCTTAATTTAGGAATTTGTGATTCAGTTGCCTAGAAATGTCAAAACTTTCAATGTGAATACTTCTTTAATAGGAACGAATCTCCGCTTTGTTTCTGAAATAAGACTGCGATAATCTTGAAGCACATTCTCCGTGAATTTGAGCAATGATGCAGTGTCTTTGTCCGACATAAGTAGACTTCACACAAAATCTAACAACAAGTCCAAGCTTTGAATGCAGCGGGGTCAACCTTGCAAATTTCTGTGCATCATTATAAGAAATGTTTGTCACAATAGGGAACTGAATTGATAATTATTATATTGTTTTCCTGATACCTGGATCACATACATTCAAGACTCTGTAAATGCTGAAATAATTGATGTGTAATGGAATATTATGTACAAAACCTCTAATTCCATAGAATGTCCTAAACGCCTGTATTCCTATATAAACCAAAGGACAAAAAGAAGAGGAATTATTACTGCACTATGGGGAGACAGTACTGCAGCATCATTAGTGGAAGATGACTTTGGTAAGGCTCAAGTGTTCTCAAACTACTTTAGCAATGTATATACCATAGAAGCACCCTTCCCGTCAGTGCATACAACCCCCCCCCACATACACTGGATAGCGTGACCATAAATGAACTCGATGTCTTTGATCTGCTAAATAAGCTTGACACAGGTAAGTCCATGGGGCCCGATGAATTGCATCCTAGGCTACTAAAGGAATTATCTAACTTCGTTGCAAACCCTTTAAGTATATGCTTTAAGCTATCCGTTACGCAGGGTCGTTTTCCAAAAGACTGGAAGAACGCCATAGTAAGTCCTGTCTTCAAAACAGGTACGAAACATAAACCTGAGAATTACCGACCCGTTAACCTAACTATTGTGGTTGTTAAAATCCTAGAAAAGATTATTCGAAAAGAGCTATTTAAATACCTCGATATAAACCGAATCCTCTCGGAGAAACAGCACGGTTTCAGAATAGGTTATTCTTGTCTCACTAACTTATTAGTCACTCGAGAAAGCTAGTGCGCTTTTAAGGACCAAAGGTTATCTGTAGACGTGGCTTACATTGATTTCAGCAAAGCTTTTGACAAGGTTCCGCACAACCGGCTGTTATATAAGCTAAAAAATGTCGGAATTGGAGGCAATCTATTGACGTGGATAGAAGACTTCCTTGTTGGGCGCCAATAAAGAGTACGGGTAAACTCAAAATTATCTAGCTGGGAAACTGTGCTTAGTGGAGTGCCCCAGGGTACATTTTGGGGGCCAGTGCTATTCCTCTTGTATGTAAATGACCTTCCTCGCTTACTATCATCATCGGTCTTGCTATATGCTGACGATGTCAAGATATGGAGGACGATACGATGTAAGGGTGATAGCTTAGAACTCCAAAATGACCTGAAGAAATTATCCGAATGGTCTCATACATGGCAGCTGCCGATAAATACTTCCAAGTGTGTTGTGATGCATATCGGTCATCAAGGTTCAGATACATACACGATGAATAACATTGAGCTACCTGTTGTCCAGACACATAATGACTTAGGAGTCATCGTTAGCCAAGATCTGAAGACTACTGCATACTGCCGTGCAATAGCCGCCAAAGCTTTTAAAACTTTATGGTCAATACGTAGGGCTTTTACTCATGTCGACGCTCAAACGTTTTTGACTTTGTATACAGTGTTCGTACGTCCTAAACTTGAGTACTGCATACAAGCGGCTAGCCCCTGCTTAAAAAAAGACAGCGAGCTTTTGGAAAGGGTCCAGAGAACAGCAACTAAGCTGATTCCCGGAATAGCGAAGCTTCCGTATGATGCTCGACTGGCCAAGCTAAACCAATTCCCTTTGTCATATCGTAGAACTAGAGGCGATTTGATTACAGTTTTCAAATTGCTTAGTGATAAATTTGCACCTGATATGCCCTCATTCTTCCTGTCTTCCAAAACAGAAAATTTATGAGGACACTCCAAAAAAGTTCACAAGCCCAGAACAAATTACTTGTCAGCTGATTATCGACTTTCCCACCGAATCATCAACGAGTGGAATTCATTACCTCAACACGTGGTTGAAGCTCCATCCGTAGATTCTTTCAAAAAAAGTTGGATCAACTGAGAGAACACAATTGCCAGGACTAACACAGGCCATCAAGCCTCCTGTCCTTTCCAAACTGAAACTGAAACTGATTAATAATGAAACCCTGCGAGGATGCTTAACTTGGTCTTCATTTGTGAACGATTCTCGTCATTTTTTATAACTTTCAAGATGTCATTCCATTTTTTGATTCCTTTTGATGAATCCAAGACGTGGTTTAAACTAACATGCATAAATCCATTTGTCACGCTGAATAGGGTTCGTAAAATAAGTGCTCCATTAAAAATAACTTCTTTTCGCGCAATATGCTATCTGCATGCTTTCCATTTTACGTTTTAGGCATTTTTCGTGTTTACTGCCCACCAGATCATTCAGGTATATCTAGAGCACCCACCGCTGTTCAGAATTTATTAGTGCTCTAATTAATATATTTCTATAATAATGTCGTTTGTGTTCTACAGTCATCACAACAGCCAAATAAGCTTTGAGTACCTATAGTTCGATAACGCTTTTACAAATAACATCTTTGTAATCGGAGTATACCAACTCAGTAAAATCAGAAGACAGAAATGATGGGGTTCAAAGATACATTCGAAACGCTATCGAAATGTTGAGAACGATTTGACCTAACTATCTAAAAGTTGCAAGGGATGAATATGACAGAGCACCTACTAAAATACTCAAATACTTCTTTGCGACTACTAACTGACGAACATACTTGATTAAATAACCCTGAAGCCGCACCACGTTAAACAACATCGTTGGTAAATTAAAAATACTTGCCGCTCAATATTCAATTCGGGTTTGTAACTCAGTTGAGCAAAATGACTGGCCTGTGGGCTCTATGGAATGTGTCTGGATTACAGGAGATGTCCCTTTTGCATAAACATGTTCAGACTTTGTTTCGTTTTCTGGAAATCCGAAAGAAATATTTTTTAAGTGAAATTGATTGATTGGATTAACTCGATCAATATTCCTTGTGCAGCAACTGTAACTGGTCAGACATGTGTCAAGCTAAGCCCCTATTCTCGTCATATCAAGTTGAGGAAACTCTCAAGTAATTTTGTTTGTGCTCCTTTATGTTTTCTTCCTAAGATTTAGTCCTAGATACGTTTTCTGATAATAAGAATGGATGACGGAGGTCTTGGACAATACAAACTACTTTGGAGGTGCTTATTTAGCTTCGACAAGATAGAAGACTTCGAAATGGGTCTAACAAATATAACAGGAGGATAGTTTCTGTTTTTACTTAAGCATGTTGAGGTACTGATTCCAATCCTGATCTCTCAACAACTTTGAGAGACGAAATAAATTTTCGCAAACATGGTAGTTTTTTAGCTTTAACAGATACTCCTATGTAGAGAGTATCGGCCAAGGATTATCATCAAATCAGTGCCCGATCTAAAGTGGGATGTTTCTCTTCCTTCAGATAACTATTTTTAAATCGGCAATCTTCACCACGTATATCGGCGATCGAATTTGCTTCCCTCACACTGTAGGGACAGTGAAATTCCACTTAGCCCTAACTATTGAATATCGAACAAAATCATCAATCCTCGTCAATGTCAAGGACAACCAACGCGCATCAGTTAAACGTACGCCATGGTCTGGCTCATGCGGCAGTGGTCTTGTCTTCGCTTTTATCTACTTTAACTAATATTTTTATGTAATAACGTCCTCTGTGTTGTACAGTCTTCAAAGCATCTATAGGACCTTGATACGTCAATGGGGTAATCTATGTAAGGTGCAGACCGCGAAGGGTGACTTCGACGTTAGCTAGTTTGTCACACCACTCACGTCTAACACGAGTAAGCCTCCAATCATTTCGACATAGATCATCCACGCTGGTGATCTACAACCCATTCCCTTCGTCTTATAAACTGGTCCTCAGAGCAAAACGCAAAGAAGTACTACAAAATCATCAGAGGATCGTTTATTCTGAATTGAGTACATCTTCAAAAATATATTTTAACGAGATTTATATTTAGAATTTACTTAGAACATTGCGTTATGGCACTATTGTCTTCCAAGTAGATGTCTAGCCGTTCTGAAAAGCACGAAAATCAGACATTCTGTAACGAAATGAATTCATTTCAATTCAGGTGCTATAGCAGTTTCTTCAAAGCCGAAAGAAAATACAATCAATACCTGCTCTTACACCTGACTTGAATGCAAAAGTATAAACTCATTAGCAAATAATCTAAAGATTCAACAATGGTTTAGAATTTGACAACGCCTTTACGTACAACATCTTTGTAATTGAAACATACCAACTCAGACAAAACGGAAGTCAAAAATAAAGAGACTCAAAAATATATTCGGAGCGCTATCGATATATCATGAAGCATTGTATCTAGACTAGTTAGTGGTTAAAAGGGGTGAGTGTCACGTCGTATTCACTATAGACCTGGTGCATATGCGTGACCGACCGCCTTCAGCTGAATGAGTCCAGTAAAACTAATATGGTCAACACCAATGTTGAAGATTTACAGGACCATTCGTTTCAAAGATTTCTTTGTTGCTACCACTCACTACACATCCACTAGGGTTGTGATGACCCTCAAACGTGGACAGTCACAAGTCAGAGCCCAATGAGCCTGTTGTGGTAAACACTCATCTAATGGTTTACTACGTTCGGTAGCATTAGGTCGTTCATTCCTAATAATCGGGGCCATGTGCTACAACACAACAATAAAAAATATCCATCGAAAATTTCCTTTGTCTCTTCATCATATTTTCCAGTAGTTCTGGACAAAGAAAACAAATAAATTTTAAGTGCGTGTCAAAAGCACTCGTACGTGAGTAATGACACAAAACGGGCGAGATAAATAAAATTAGACTGGTATATATACAGAATTATGGTCTAGTTCGTCATTTGTAATGCTGTGATACTGAACCTAAATTGCATATTTTTCATTCTGACTACGTAATTTATAAGATCTTATATAGAAGTCGCACTGTTAAATATGTTGGCTCTTCCTGTCGCAAAAATCACCAATTTGATGATACCTACTTCTGGATTGTGTGGTTGGAACCGATGCCACTACATACACGCATATTATTACGATTCCATAGAGTAAAACCATTTTTACACAGTTATACTTTTTACATTTTACTATAAAACCAATGTACGCATGTATGTGAGTATATCAGAAAAAATAATGTT